CGTCAATCAAACGTGAACACTTTATTTCTTACCATGGCAACGCCAGACAAATGTGAACACTTTATTACTTACCATTGCAACGCACAAACTGCAATCGCTTGATGTTTTTTTTAAAAACCATTCTTTAAAATATTCTATAATTAAGGACTGGGTTTTCAATACCCAATTTATATCAAACATTATAATGTAATTTGATTTCCAGTCTAACAAAGTATTAACTTGCGTATTTTTTTAACACTCTCCTTCCCTGTTTTCAACGAAAAAAATATTTTGTCTAAAAAGACTAGTTCAATTTACGTTTAACTGTTTTTATTTTGTTTTTGTTACAAAGGTGTAGCTTTATTATATTCACAAACGATCATTTGTGTTAATAATGTTACACGTTTCTTAAAATCAGGGGTATGGAGTCGTAAAAAAAAGTAACGACTCCGACTCCAGTTGTTGAAATTTTTTGAGTACAACTCCAACTCCGACTCCAACTCCAAAGCAAAATTTTTTTTCTTTGAATTCTTTAAAAAATATTACGCAATAAGTTAAAAATTTCTTTTTTGACAAATTTATGAAACGTTTTTTGAGGTTTATTATGAACATAAGGTTAATTGAATGTTTTGTACATGCACGTGCACAGGGCCGGCGCGAGTAGGTGTCACGTGGGGGTGCCATTGCAACTTTTGCCGACTAAAAAAAAAAAAAAAGTCCTCGTTTTCGAAAATTTGCCGACTGCCATGACAACATTTGCCAACTAACTGTCTAAATTACCGACTAACCTATTTCAAAAGGGTCGACATTTGCCGACTAACTTGTCAATAAGGGTCAAATTTGCCGACTAAAAATCATTGATGGGGGGGGGGGGTATCACACCCTTTCTCTCTCCCCCCCCCCTCCCACACACACACCTATCGCGCCGGCCTTACACGTGCAATACCGAGAAGTTTTACTATTGGAGTCGGAGTCGCGATTTTGTTTAGCGAGTCTGACTCCAACTCCGCTGAAAATGTCGCAACTCCGCAATTCCGACTCTGACTCCGACTCCAATTCCACAGCCCTGCTTAAAATACAAACAATATATGCCAGGACAAGAAGAAGCCTTATTGCCAAGCCCCTAAATAAGTTTCGTAATGAAGTTGAAATATTCAAATAAGAAATTTTGTAAAATAAAACAAATTAAAATTTAAATAAGTAAAATAAACAAAAATTAGGAGATTTAATATTTAAAAAAATATTGTTAAAAAGCTATAAACTTGAACATGTTTTTGTAAAACAAAATTTACATTTAAATACTTTGGAAAAAAAAGTTAAAAAAGTTTTATATTGTATTTTATTTTGAAAATTGTAAAAGAAATGAGGAGTTTAAGCTCATCCCAATAAGACAAATCACATTTTGATATTTATCAACGAGAATGGCATACCTTAAATTTTTTTTTGTAAGCCATGGAAGTGCCTAGCGCTTAATTAGCAAAATATTTGTAAAAGTATTACGCAAAAAAGGTATACTTTATTCATTAAAACAAAAGCTAGAACTTTTGCTTTAATGAATAAAGTATATATTTTTTAATTCACAGGTTTTTTCAGTTCACTGATGGAAACTACTAGTGTCATTTATGAAATGAAGTAATGATCAACCAGCAATCATGGCGTGACTTTATGGTGTAAACATCTTATAGTCCAACCCAGTGAGCACACCAACCTTGGAACAGCGTTAAATAACGTTATTATTTAGGTTCTAATAAGAATGGATTTACGTTGGAAATGGAAAGTATGGTTAACGTTAGATTTTGAATGTTTTTTTTTCCAACGTTGTAACGTTAGATATTCCTACCTTAATCAATGTTAATGTCAACGTTGTAATTTCGATGTAAAAGCAGCGTATTTTTTTAAGTAAAAGTTTGCAGTCATTGGGACTCAACCCCATTTAAACACTTCACTACAATACACAATCATTTTGATAAAGAAAGTATTTACTAATATATGCTAAACTTTAAAAAAAAAATTTAAATATTATAAAATTCACTTTGTTTTGATGATAAGTTAAAACTATTAATTATAATTTAATATTAACACCCTATAAACAAAATTTCGGACAAATGTTTTTTGCATTTATTATGTAATTTATTTCATGCACGTAAAAAACCTTTATACTTATTTGAAAGAGGATTTTATATTTTATTTAAATTTAATTAAGTTAAAAATATTATTTAAATATTGAAAATAAAATGGTCAAAGTAAAAGATTTCGAAAAAATGATGGAAATTTTTTTCCAAAAAAATCGAGAAAAAGGTAAAGCGTTTGTTGTTCGAACCCTATTCCATAAACTGCTTAGCATTTTATGGAATAAGGTTTACCCAGATCAACTGTTACAATAAAATCGTAAAATTGGAGAATGGATCTCTGAAAAGAAAAGTTGGAAGTGGTTGAGTCGCTAAGGTAGCTACAAAAGAAAATATTCCAAAGATTGCTGCATTTTTTGAAAATAAGTCAGGGTGCTCCCAAAAGAAAGTAGCTCAAGTTTTTAATTGTAGTCAAACTCGAATTTCCCAAGTATTAAAAACAATGACTAACATTCGAACTTTCAAAAAAAAAATCGTTAAGATCGTAGCCGTCAGCAAGAGAAAGCTATGCGTCCTAAATGTCGTAAATTGTACGAAAATTATAAAAACATGGATTCTGTAATGGATAATGAAAGCTATTTTACCTTAAATAATAGCACATTAGCTGGTAATGATAGGTTTTATGCCGCTGATCCTTTTCAATGTTCTGACGAAGTAAGATACAATTTGCGTAAAAAGTACGAAGACAAGCTCTTAGTTTTTTGTTGCATTAGCCCCTGTGAAATAAGCCCTCTTTATATTCATCACAGTAAGCAGGCAATCAACCATTATACTTATAAAGAGATACTAGAAAAAACTTTATTTTCTCTAGTATCAGAATATTATAAAAAGACAATGAGTTTATCTTCTGGCTTGATCTAGCTCGATCACATTACGCAAAGTTGGTCATCGACTTTTTAAAATTGAAAAAAATTAAAGTTGTACCCAAAGATATAAACCCAGCTAACGCCCCAGAAGCAAGACCAATTGAAAACTTTTAGGGTGATTTAAAACGCCTAGTGTACGAGAATAATTGGAGAGCTGAGAATTTGGAAGATCTTGAAGCAAGTATTAGATATTGCTATTCAAAGATGAATAAAGAAATTTTTCTTACTCAAATAACACATCTTTCTGAAAAACTTTATAATCTTGCTAAATATAGTATTTGCAATAATTATTTTTATATATTTACAAACTACATATTCTAACATATTAACAGTTGAAATATTAAATAATAAAACTTATTAGTTCTTAAAATATTAATTTTTAAATTTTGTCCAAAGTTTTATTTATGAGGTGTTACAATTATTTTTCAAAATTAAATTTCAAAAATTTGATGGTTAAGGAAAAAACAAATATTTTTTAATCGCATAAATATTTTCCTCATCAAATTATAAACCAAATCCTCTTCCTCAAATATTTATTAAAAACAATGTAAGTATAGCTGTTATAACATTGCAACTCCGATATAAAATTATATTGGCCTAGCCAACGTTATTAAAACGTTGTAATTCTGATTAAAAATAACTTTATTGTAACCAATGCTATAACAACCTTAGATTTAGTTGGTCAATGTTGCTTTACATAACCCAACATAAGTCCAAAGTTGGATCAAAGTCATGTGCCCACTAGGCATGCAATTTGCATTTTTAAAATGTGATGCAAATCGAAATGTGAAACTACATTAAAAAATATAATGCATGAATGTTTATGATTAGTCGAACAAAATATACTACACCTGTAGTATACTTGATTCACCGTAGTATATTTTTTTGGCGTAGTATACATTATTTACCAGCCATGGAATACATTTAATACCAATCATTTTAAATTTAAGTTAAAATACGAATCAAGAAGTTTATTGTTTGTCGCAATTCGTTGAAAACTGCATAGCATCTTTCAATATTATTTTAAAATTTTCTTTTTAAAGAAAGGTAAAATATCTGACCAACGATAAATTGAATATGTCAACTCCATTGCCAGAGTAAAATAACTAGTTTATTTTACTAAATTCATTATATAATATTGGAAAGAATCTTAAATCTTACAAATTTTAAAGTAACTTGAATATATTAACTTAAAGTTAAAATATAAAATTACAAATATCTTTTTAATAGTGAATTTCTATTAAAAAGATATTTGTGATTTTAATAAAGATTGTAAGTAATATTGTCTGTAAAGAATAAAGATTCTAAGAAACTCATTATAAAGTGATGCAGAGCAAACTTTATATTGAGTTTATATAAAGTTAAAAATAACTGTTAATTAATTTTTAAAATCAATTTTTGTTGTCTTTAGTATTGTTTTTTTTTAAATTTTTATTAAATATTTTATTGTCATTACTAATGTTTATGGTTATTTTTATAAATATTTACATTACTGTTATTAACTACTTTAACTATTATTACTAATAATAATGTTGTTTTTGTATAGTTATTATTATTATTATTATTATTATTATTCTTATTTTTGCTATTCTTATTATTATTATTGTTATTATTATTATTATTATTATTATTATTATTATTATTATTATTATTATTATTATTATTATTATTATTATTATTATTATTATTATTATTATTATTGCTTTTACTGTTAACATCGTTATTTTTATGTTATAAAGTTTATTATTGTTATTATATATTGTGAAAATAAGCTATACTTATAATCATAATTATTTTAATTAGATATTATTAACATTAGTAGGTGTTAACTTTATATTAGTAAATTTACTATTTTCAAATATCCTTGAATGTAAAATTTTAATTCATAAATAAATGATTGAGAGGCAAATTTTTTGATGCCCCATTTTAAATATCCGCTAACAATGCAAAGCTAAAAAAAATCAGGACGCGAAAATGTAGTTGATACCAGTACTATCTTAATTAAGATCTAACTGAAAAACCAGTCGGCAAGATTATACTTTTATTATCTCGATTTAAAAACAGTATTATTTGCTACTTAAATGATATAACTTTAATGCTATGATATCGATTGTTAATGATATGAAGTCATAGTCATTCTTAAATGTCATAACTTAGTGATTTGGAAATGATAGATAATCAGCATTTACAATATTTTTTGTGTTCTATGCAGACATAATTAACTTTGATATTCATTTGATATAAATATTTGTTTTAATCATCTGTAAGTTGTAAGAACAGTATTATTGGAGTCTATCACCATGAATTCGATTAAAGTTTTTTCATTCGATGAATACAATGTATTGATTTCAGCTCTTGTCACCATCGGTATTCAGTTTTCTTTTTTCATTGTTGCTGCTACATGCAGATTTGACAAAGTAACAGATTTTGCTGGAGGAAGCAATTTTATTATTTTAAATGTGCTCACTTTTTTCTTATCCCATGTTAGTACTTATTTTTAATTTTTAATGTTTTTTGTTAGCAAAGAAATGCTATTAATAACCATTTCTGATATTATTCCTGATACTATTTTTAAATTATTATTGATAATATTATTTCCTTGTTTAGCCTTATGTGTTTAACACAGCACTCACTCTTATTACGCTGTGTACAACTCCCATGCAATTTAATATCAATTTAATTTGTTCTTTAAGTATTGTTGAAATTTTATTCCTAATGAAATAAACTGCTTCTTTCGTAACTGGTTGAGGTCCCAGCTGACTTTTTTAAACCTGACCCAATTTAAATACTCAAATTAGCAGGGTTGCTAATATGTGCTAGAATTTTTTTGTTTGTTAGGTTTTAACAATATTCAACTGCTTTAAAAGCAAAATCAGAATATTTTATTATAGAAATTTTTTTCTAACTATTTAAAAATTTTTTTAACAACAGTTTTAGTGTGATGAAAAAGAAATAACTAAGAAATATTACGTTTTTATGGCTTCAAAATAGAATATGTTGCTAAATTGATTATTTAGGAGAGTAGAGACTGTAGCAGAAAAGACAATTCAAGAGTAATATGCCATGTTGCCATTGCCATATCAGAAAATGTTCTCCCCTTGTAACTTCAAGCAGAGGTGCAAAACTAATAATATTAAATGTTTAATGATGTGTGGAAGTGAATTAAAGGAAATGCCTTAATAACAAGATTTAACAAGGATTAATAAAAGAAAATGTGCAAGGATGTTCATAGTGATTATGACAATGAATTTAAAAACAAAAAATAATTAATCAATTTATATTCCCTTTTTAATAATCCTAATAATTATGGTTCATCAAATTTGTTTAGACCTAGTCCCAGCTTTATTTAATCAAATCTTAACCCTTTTTAAAATCATTCTCTGGTCAGTTATCAATTGCTAAATAGCTATTTTTTAGTAATCTTTTCACTAAAAATGTTAAATAAAAAATCAATCAGAATGTTCTGGTATTTATAGTCCGATTTTTGATTAAAATTTCTTTTCAAAACATTGAAAATATAATAAAGTTTCAAATTTAAAATTATGTATATTCTAAAGTATTTATAAATATTTATCTGAATTTTTAGTTCAAGTAGTAACATATTATAGTATATTAATAATTGATGTTTAATATATAAAAAACCAAAGTATAGTATAGCTTGTATATAACTATAGTAGCCTTGACTAATAACTCCTGCAAGTTTGACTAATTAACTTTTTTCATATGCTAAATAACTACTTTTCACATTTATTAAAGGGTAATTCCATGTCAAATGACCCAGGTCACGTCACCATACATCTCATATTTTGTTGATTTTTATACAGAGTATCTAGTAAAATAAGAGTTCTCTATAATTTTTAGTCTCTGCCTCTAAGAAGATCCTGAGTTATGACTGTTTTACATATAGCAGATACTGACTAGGCTCCTCTTGTCTCCTCAAAATTGCAATGTTTGTTAAGAGGTTTCAAGTCACCTAACTATAAAAAAATTTGATTTGTTTTTCACCTTAAAGTTTGTAACTAGTTTAAAGTTTCACCTTAAAGTTTGTAACCTTAAAGTTTGTAACTAGCTTTTTTTTTTTTTTTTTTTTTTTGGGGGGGGGGGGGGTAACAAATTAAATGAAATGGTCAGAAGTGTAAAAGGTTATTATTAAGTACCTGTAATTATCAATAATAAATTTAAGCTATTTTTCATATACCTGTTTTTAATTCTCAAGAAACCTATGTGACCTGATAATATCAAAAAATATATATTACACATCATTATATATTTATTGATCTTTCGAAAAATGTAAAGATTTTGATCTGCAAGTATATGGATATCCATATGTGGATATCGGGGCGCAGTTCCCACTTTTTTGCAATTGATTTTTCACTACCTTCCAGACTAGCTGGAGCTCTGAAAATTTTAGCATACCTTGCCAATATGCATGTTAAAATCCATATGTGGATATCAGGGCGCAGTTCCCACTTTTTTGCAATTGATTTTTCACTACCTTCCAGACTAGCTGGAGCTCTGAAAATTTTAGCATACCTTGCCAATATGCATGTTAAAATTGTTTTCAGGGCCCTAAAATTTCAGAGCTCCAGTTTGTTGTAATCTTGTGATTGTGACAAACTGAAGCTCTAAAAATTTCAGCTTTTGTGTAGTCCTGATAAACCGGTGTTAAAATTGTTTCTAGGGCAGACTGCCAGAGAGTCCATGGCTCAAGGCACTAGGGCCATCCCCTACTTATTTTATAAAAAAAAAATATTTCTATTTTTGCTTTTTCTATAAAGTAAAGATAACTTCAAAAATATTGTTTTGAAAAATGTTTTTGGCTTTTTAATTGTTCTGATTTGTTTAATTATTTACAAAATAAAATACAAAAATATAAAGTCTCAAGTTTGTATTAAGATTTGCTTAGTCAATGGTCAAAGTATATGTCCAATTGTTACAGGTGCATCAATGGTACAAATTATGTTGATAATTAGAACCCAACACTCATCTACTCTAGATGGTCCGAAAAAATTTGTTAAATAACATCTTGCTCAATACTGTCAATTTCATTTAACATACCAATCCAATTAAAGGAATCACATTTACACAGAACAAATTCACTAAATTTCATTGCATTATTGTTAATTTTCAATGTATTGATGTTAATTTGGTGATTAGGTTAAATACAAAAAAATAAAACATGCCTGTTATATAAAAATGTTCACTTTTTTGTTTAAAGCTAATAGTATCTATAGATTCTGGGTTAAATTGATGATAGCTCCTAATTTCAGGAATTGTTCTACTTAGCTGAAAACATTTTTTCAAAGTAATTTGCAATTCTGTCAGTCTTTCACTTCAATATTGAAGTGAAAGACTGACAGAATTGTCAATTCAATATTAGAATATACATAATGTTCACTTTAATATTTTTATACAATTCAATATCTGTGCCACCAATACCATTGCATGGTGACTTACCATGACTTGGCAAAAATGTCCACTTTGCATCAATGTCAAAATCATTTTCATGGACACATATATTGTAAAGGTTTTTATACTGTGCAGCGCAACCATCTGAAAAATAAATAATCTTTGAAATATTAGGATGATTTTTTTATTAACAATTATATTCTGACATAAAGCAAAACATTTTTTCATTAAACTGGTCATTTTCCCTTTATAAATAGAGAGCAATGGGGTGTAACATGAATTGGTTTTAGTACCAATAGTAACTTTGGATTTTATCTTGAATCACAAACGTGAAATTTTCTGCAAAATCACCTGAGACAATACAGCAGTCTTTTGACAAATTTTTATTTTTTTACCTTAGGCATCTTGCTTGACATTTTGCAATGTAGGAATGAGCTGTTAACTTTTTTATTGCCTCTGATAACATTAATTTGTATTCTTCAATTGTTGTTGCCTGAATAATCAATATTGTTCTGTCTGCTTTTTTTAGTTTTTTTACATGGACTGTTTTTAGTCCATGTACTTGCAAATCAAAAATTTTATCAATATATTTACTTTATTAAAACATTTTAAGAAAGATTATTGAAAATAGAATGATCAAAAACCAAATAGAACAAATACAAAGACAAAATTTTCCAAGTTATATTTACTTTGTTAAATATATAAAAAAAAAAATTTTTGAGAAAAGGGGGGGGGGGGAAGAACCCCAGTGCCCTGGTCTTATGAACCTTCTGGTTATCTGCCCTGGTAAAAATTTCACAAATGCTGAACGCTTCAGAGCTCCAGTTTTTCTAGAAAGTCATGTCTTGGGCCCTGAAAACAACCTTAGCATACACATTCATCGGCACTACAGAAATCCCAAAAGTTTCAGAGCTCCAGCTAGTCTAGAAGATAGTGAAAAATCAATTGCAATACTCTGCTACAAAAAAACAAATGGAGATCATGGCCTGTTATCCAATAATAGAAACCCATATACTTGCAGATCAAAATCTTTATTTTTTTTTTGAAAGATTAATGAATATAAAATAATGTATAATATTTTTTTTTTTGTTGATATTATTAAGGCCACATCGGTTTCTTGGGCATCAAAATCCAGGTATACAAAAAATTGCCTAAATTTATTTAAATTAATAAATACAGTACTTAAAAATAATTTTTTACATTTCTGATCATTTCATTGAATTTGCCAAACCTGAGAACCAGGTATAAATTTTTAAATAAAAAGATCAAATATTTTTATGTTATTTTTATGTATAAGTTATGTAACTTGAAACCTATAAATAAATGTTGCAATTCTAAGGGGACAACAGTGGCCTGGCCAATATCTGTTAAAAGTAAAATGGTTATATTTCAGCATCTTCTTGGAGCAAGAGGCTCAAATTTTTAAGGAATTCTTTTTTTACAAAGTACTCTAACTGTATATAAATCAGAAAAATCTGAGATATAGGGTGACATTTTTCAAATTTTCAGGGTCATTTGACACGGAATTACCCTAAAGGCTTTTAGAACTTTTGACCATCAGATTGCATTAAAAAAGTATGTGGTACTGTTATGTTTTGGTTAAAAATTATTCCGAAATTAAAAAAAAAACTTCTTAATGTTAAAAAATTACCTGCATATCTGCCATGTTTGGTTTGACTTGATTTAAGTTTTTTAAAAACCATTATAATTAAAAAGTCTCTTAGAACTCAATGACAAATGTAAGGCTGCTGTATTGCAAGAGAAATCTATGACTTAAATACTGTTAAATAATGAAATGTTCTTAGAATATATCTGCTTTTCCATCTTTTTAGGTTTTTTTCTATTATTTACATCAAATATAACTAAAGGAAAACAAATTTCAACAAGTTTTAAAACATTTTTTACCATTAGTTATACCATAAACTTTATAAGCTATTAAAATAGAATATTTTAAACTATGTAGTAATAAAATTTTATTTAGACTTACTATAACCGACAGATTGCTATTTTTGTGTTGGTTTTACTTTGGGGTTTTCGATTAACTGGTTATCTATTTTATCGAATTATTAAGATAGGCGAAGATAAAAGATTTGATGATAAAAGACAGGATCCTGTCAAGTTTGCTGTTTTTTGGATATTGCAAGCTATTTGGGTGTTCACTGTTAGTCTACCTGTTATATATATTAATGCTCCTAAATCAGACCAAATACTTCAAGTTACAGATTATGTTGGATTTAGTATTTTTTTATTGGGTTTATTAATTGAGGCTGTATCTGACCAGCAAAAGTTTAGTTTTCGTAATAACCCTGTAAGTATATTTTGCTTTAGAATATAGTTTTTGTTATGTAATTATATGTTGTATGCTAAATACACACAAAAAATTAGTTTATTTTATTCATAACTTAAGGTATTTTTGCAACAATTTAAATTATGGCTTTTGTTGTGTCTTTGTTGTTAATGTCCATAATTCCTCACTAGGGTAGTTAAGATTGGTTTCCTGTATATATATATATATATATATATATATATATATATATATATATATATATATATATATATATATATATATATATATATATATATATATATATATATATATATATATATATATATAAATTTCAAATAAAACTTATTTTTTGAAATATTTTAAAATCTTTAATATGTTTGTGATGTCAGGAAAAAAAATTCAGTAATTTTTTTTTTTTTTTTTTTTATGTAAAAAAATACCCAATAGGTTGGATTTCTTATTTTTCTTGGATTTCTTAACTAAGCAAAATAATTATTAACTAATGTTATTTGTAAAAAGTACCAATAAAAGTTTAAATATTTAAAAAACAATATTTTCAAAATGATTTTCAATCAATAAAAAAAATAATAACATGCTTTAAAAAAAAAGTAATAACATGCTTAAAAAAATTACAACATGCTTAAAAAAAAAAAGGAACATGCTTGTTATTAAACTATTTTGTGTGCAAGGTTAGTATTCAAAATGAAAAATAAAAAGTTGCATTTATTTAGTGTTGAACAGATTTGTGGTCTTTCTCTAAGGACTAAAATCTAAAAGTGTTTTGGTCGATTTTGAAATAATGACTTAAATTTTAACAATTAACTTCGCTCTGGAGGAATAATTAAGGTTGTAAACAGAAAGATTTTAGTTTGAAAAAATATTTTTTTCCTTAATATTTCCACATTATTTCCACTTTAGTGAGATTAACAATTTCCTTCTATCAGCTGGAAAGCTACATTCAGAGAGTATTTAATCTGATGCAGTATTATTGTTGTTGATATTATTATTTGTTATATATAAATAGTATTTCTATACTTTATCGCAGCCCTAATTTTTAATTTTGTTTTTAAATTTTGGTTATTGTTTAAAACATTTTTAACATTTTATTGTTTCTATGCGTGTTGCAATTATTTTTAACGTGCGTAAGTTTACTGAACTGTTGAGAATAGCATCTTACCAGAATAGTATAAATCTAAATATTATTATTGCTTCTTGTGACATGCACTCAGTCTTAGGCCGTTTCATGTTGCAAGTTTGCTAGAATTTTTATAACAACTTCAGTTTCATTCTTTAAGAGTAACAAAGGTCTTTGGTGCAATGCTGGTTTGTGGTCTTGGTCTCGCCATCCCAATTATTTTGGTGAAATCCTTGTCTGGTGGGGTTCATTCATCATTAGCATAGCAGTTATCCGTGAAAATAAACAACTATGGACATCGATTATGAGTCCTTTAGTGACTATGTTGTTGCTGCTCTTTGTAAGTGGTATACCTTTACTGGAAAAAACTGCTGATGAAAAATTTCATTTGTACGTTCATTTTTTCATTTACTTTTTTTTGTTAAATATGTTTTTTCTTTTTTTATTGTTTTTATAATTTTTCAAAAAAATATTAATATTTATGATTTCATTCCATTGTATATATTTGCAAAAAACACAAAAAATTTATCATTAAAAATTTAGCAAAATATATTTTAAAGTAAAAGTTAAATTTAACTGAAATTATTTTAAGTTTATAAAAGTATTTTTTATTTTTTTTAATTTCAAATGTTAATATGCAAATTTATTATTGTTTTAGAAATGCTGACTACGTTAGTTACAAGCTTCAAACAAGTCCCTTAATATTATGTCCACCGTTTCTTTATTCCAGAATGAACAGAATCCTCAAGCTCATTTTTTGTTTTGAGTTTCCTTTTTACAGTAAATTAGATAGCGAGGATTACAAACGAATTGATCCTTGAGATAGGCGTGACATCAAAATAAATAAAGTTAGGAAAGTTTACGAAATTTGAAACTTTGACCGAGTAGTTCAAATCTAAATTGTTTTTTGAAATGTAGTTTTCTTATTATAGTTTTGTAGTTTTGCAATTGTCAAAAATTAATATTGATTGTACCATTAATAAATATATTTAACTAGTTCATGTTATAATTTTTGCTTTAACATTTAAATATGCTAGCTGACCCGACCAGTAAAATTACGGGTCTTTTTAAGTCTATACTTTTTCCTCATCTTAGCGTTGGGAATTGTTGTTGAAAAAACAAAATCGAATTTTAAAATCGAATCTTGAATCGAAGCGAAGTGTCGCGGCACTTGACTCGCGATACAGATCGATTCGCTAGGCCCTAATATATATATATATATATATATATATATATATATATATATATATATATATATATATATATATATATATATATATATATATATATATATATATATATATATATATATATATATATATATATGATATATATATATATATATATATATATATATATATATATATATATATATATATATATATATATATATATATATATAGACAATGTGTCAGACAAAATAAGTGTATTAAAAGCTGCATACATTAACAGAAACAATATAAATGAAATCTATTTTGACTCAGATATGACAGAATCCGAAAGAGATCTCATTAAACAGCTACGTAGTGAAGTTAAATTGTTAAATGCTAGCCTAAATCAAAAAGATGAATACTACTACACTATAAGAAATTTTAAAATTGTGAAACTCATAAAAAAACCAAAGCAATAGCAATCCTCAATTAATTTGTATCAACCTGCAGTCCTTTCTACACATAATCCTGTATCTAATTATGTTAAATCAGAAGTATTATTATGCAAATAAATACCCAAATACCATCTATGTTGTAGATATACAAATGCGACTTCACTTAACAATAAGTTCGATTTGTTTTTGTTAGAAATAGCAGTGTATAATCCTGACTTATTTATTGTAACTGAAACTTGGTTTAAAGGCTGTTTTCCACAAGACGAAATACTCGCGCGAAGCGAATTTTTTCGTCGATAAGCATGCGCAGATAAAAAATTTCTAGCAATTATTGCCAATTATTGCGAGAAATGTTTTATCTGCGCATGCTTATCGACAAAAAAATTCGCTTCGCGCGAATATTTCGTCTTGTAGAAAACGGCCTTAACTCATCAAGTGCCATAAATGTAAGCGGGTATAATGTTTTTTACAACAATCGATCTAAATCTAATTCAACTAAATCTCATGGCGGAGGTGTAGCTATTTATGTTAAAAATAAATACATTGCTTATACTCCATATGACCTAGCATCTGAAGAAATGACAGTTGAACAAGTCTGGTATGTCATTAAAACAGAAAATGAGAATATCTTAATCGGTAGCATATATCGTCCACCAGATGCTACAGAATTGACAAATCAAAAAATAAATAAAATAATAAATATAGCTAAAAAAAGTGTTGATTGAAATAAATATTCAGGTCTACTCTTAGCCGGAGACCTAAATTACCCAAATTTTTTTTGTTTTGTTTTTGTTGTTGTTTTATTTTGTATATTATTTGGTTTAAAATTTTATCTTGACTTTTTAACATTCTATCTTGGTTTTTAAATACTTTTGCATAGAGGTGTATTATTATTTCACTACAGACATTGTATTTTTATTAAAAGTTAACCATATATTGTAAAGGGCTTCATGACAAGATCCTCATGATCTTCTAGAAGTCCTGTCGTTACTAATGTAAAAAATTGTAAAATATATTTAGTTATTGTAATATTAAACGGCAAAATAAAAAAAAAAAAAAATGAAAAAAAAAAAAATAAAATAAAATAAAATGGAATGAGAATGATGAGAATATCCAAACAGTGTTAAAAAATGATAGACAAGCACAAATTTTTTTAGACAATTTAAATGATAACTTTTTGACTCAAAACGTCTCAAAACTAACCTTTAATTCAGGGACACTGTCAGAAGGCAATACCTTAGATTTGATTTTAACCGATGCACCAGAGCGTATTTCGATCATAGGCTATAATCCTCCGTTAAGCAATTTAAATAATGCACATCAGATATTGTATTAGAATTACATCAGATATTGTATTGGAAATCTTAAAAAAACCAACAACATCAAAATCTTCCTATGGGAAATCAAAGTTTAACTACAAAGCCGGAAATTATCAAGAAATGAACAATTCATTCTATAGTATAAGATGGTCACATATTTTCTCTAATAAAAACGTTGATGAATGCTACAAAATTTTGTCAAAAAATATCAAGAATTATCTGACAGTTATATACCTAAAAAAGTGCATAAACACATAGCTTTAAAACCATATATTGACAAACAAATTAAGACTGAAATCAGACATAAAACAACCTTATGGAACAAATTAATATCAAATAAATCCAAATCACCCATTTTGGTTCAGCAATACAAAATACAAAGTAAATTAGTTAAAAACATGGTGAGGTTAAAACGTATTAAATATAAAAAAAAAATCAGTGAAACATCAAAAAGAAATCCCAAGTTATTTTATAGTTATGTAAATTCGAACAAAAAAGTTAAAGGAGGAATAGCTTCAATGTCTAATGAATATAATAACATTGTAACAAATAAAGAATCTATAGCAAATATTTTAAACAATAGTTTCAATTCAGTTTGTGTTAACGAAGATAAACATAACATACCAAATATACCGCAGAAGACTGAAATTATTCTAGAAGTAGATATAAATAATAAAATAACTTGCCATAATATTGAAAAAAAATTTTAAAAATTAGATGTTTACAAAGCTATCGGAGTAGATAGGATAAGCCCATATGTTTTAAATAAATGTCATAGTACTCTCTGTGAACCATTACATTTAATATATATAAAATCGTTGACTGAGAAAAAATTACCTGAACTCTGAAATTAGCAAATATAACACCAATTTTTAAAAAAGGTAATACGAACATTGCATCTAATTACAGGCCAATATCATTGACTTCTATCCCATGTAAAGTTTTGGAATCACTCACTAGAGATGAAATTATGGATTATCTAACAGCTTATTAAATAAAAATCAGCATGGGTTCAGAAAAAATAAAAGCTGCACAACAAACCTATTGGAAACTCTTGATATCATAACAGATGTACTAGAAAATGGCCACTCAGTTTATATGTTGTATCTAGACTTTGAAAAGGCTTTTGATAAAGTACCACACTCGCGTTTAATCACTAAACTTCAATCATATGGTATTGTGAGAAATTATCTGGGATGGATAGAGAACTTTTTAACTAACAGAAAACAGAGAGTGGTCCTTGGCGACACTGTCTCAGATTGGCTTCCAGTTATTAGTGGTGTACCACAGGGGTCAGTTTTAGGACCACTGCTGTTTTTGATTTTTATTAACGATTTGCCAGATCAAGTCAAAAACCCTATTAAACTTTACGCTGATGATAGTAAAATAATAAATATTATAAAAAATCCTAATGATTCAATAAGCCTTCAAAATGATATAAATAATATAATGGCATGGTCATCTATTTGGCTCACAAAATTTAATTATGAAAAATGCAAAGTTATGCATATTGGGAAAAAAAATCCAAATGCTACATTTATAATGACTGATATTGATTGCAATTACAATTATACATTGTGTAACACAAAAGCTGAACGTGATTTGGGTATAATGGTTCAATCCGATTTAAAATGGCACTCACAAGTTGATTCAGCAACCAGCAAAGCAAACAGAATGTTAGGTACCATAAAGAAAAGCTTTAAATATTTAGATGTAAACATGGTAAAAATGCTCTATACAACGTTTATACGTCCACATCTTGAGTTTGCGGTCCAGGCATGGTCTCCATTTTTAAAACAAGACATTGACAAGATTGAGAAAATCCAAAAAAGAGCAACCAAACTAGCACCTACAATTAGAAAATTATCATATGAGGCTAGGTTGAATATTATGCAATTAACGTCACTGGAAGAACGTAGACTACGTGGAGATCTGATTCAACAATATTAAATTCAACATGGCCACGATAAAATAAATTGGGTTGCTAACGATTGTGGAAATGCATTGGAGGAGGGTCTATGTCTGCGACAACACAAATTCAAAATGAGGAAGCCTTTTAGCAAAAATTCCTTCTGGTATCATTTTTTCCAAAATCGAGTTGTAAAAGCGTGGAACAGCTTACCATCTGAAATAATAGAAGCTACTTCAATAAATAACTTTAAAAACAAACTAGACAGAGCTGGATTTTGCAGAAACTATTTGTTAAAACACAAAATGAGCTGTTACAGTGCAATATCTTATGTTATTGCACTTCGCAACTGTTTAAAACAGTTGTTACAGTTATACCTTATTATTATTATTATTATATTATATATATATATATATATATATATATATATATATATATATATATATATATATATATATATATATATATATATATATATATATATATATATATATATGTATATATATATATATGTATATATATATATATATATATATATATATATATATATATATATATATACATATATATATATATATATGTATATATATATATATGTATATATATATATATATATATATATATATATATATATATATATATATAATATATATATATATATATATATATATATATATATATATATATATATATATATATATACGAACTATACTACCACAGCAAACAGTTCAGGAGTCTGAAGTCATAGCATGCCATGACATGAGCAATCAGCTGACAGGTGACAGCACACTGGCAGAATTTCGTTGACAAGTGTCATTTTGCAGCGGACAAAACAAGTGCAACTTTTTTGGTTTGTTTCATTTTCTTAAGTCTGGTCCGTGTCAACGTCAAGGGTATTTTAATAATTAAAGGAAGTATACAGAAGTTTCCAGAAGCATGCAGAAGCTTCCAGAAGTTTCCAGAAGAAGAATCCAGAACTATCTAGAAACATTCAGAAGCATCCAGACGCATCCAGAAGCATATAAAAGAAACATTTAGAATCTTCCAGAACAGGTTCACACAGGTTCATTTTACTATAAAAGAGACATGTAAACTGACATGTAATTCAGTCAGTATATGGAAGTCAATCAGTCAGTATTATTAAGACAGTTTATCGAAGTGAGTTTTATCGAAGAGCATCAATACAAGAAGTGAAATACAACAAGTGTTTCATTACATCAATACAGTCCACATCCAACTAAGACGTTGTGTTCCACAGAGCATTATTGTATCATCACAAGGTAAATGTAACACGGTAAGCCTTGAGAAGCGTGATCATTTATTGTTATTATTTTTATGACTTCAAGTGCAAAAATGGCTCACGACAGTCTTGGATTGAAACTAAGAAAAAAAATTATTGGCAATTACGTAAGTGGAATGTCACAAAAAAGTATTTGTGATAAATATCGCGTGAAAAAATGGTTCCATATATCTTTCTACGGGGAAGTTGGCAGCAGATGACAAAGGTGGAAGACCGCGTTCCATCACTTATAGAGAGGATTCTATGATCGTCAGATCCGTCAAGAAGGATCCCTGAATATCATCAGTCAAGATACAAAAGCAATTAGAGCTGCCTGTATCGGACCGAACAATCAGACAACGTGCTGTTGAAGCCGGATTGTTTTCTCGACGCCCTGCAAAGAAACCGCTAATTTCACTAAAGAACCAGAAGAAAAAACTCCTGTTCGCTACATCTCATATTGACTGAAATTTGCAGAAATGGTGAACTGTCCTGTTCAGTGGTGAATCGAAGTTCAACATCATTGGGAGCGATGACATCAGCTGTTTGAACAAATCCAAAAGACCTGGGCAGCAAGTTTCATTAATCACCTGATCAAATCTATGCCTCGGAGATGCAAGGCTGTGATCGACAACAAAGGATTCGCCACAAAATATTGATAGCGAAATACAGCTCGGTCAACATTTTATGGAGTTGCACGTATTCTGTCCAGAAGGAAATCAACTTTTTATACTTTTGATTAATTTATTAATTTTCGTGTACAAATAATGAACTTTGAGATGAATAAAACTTGAAGAGCGTTGTCTCTAAACAGTTACATAGTTGATTCTCTAAATTGAAAAAATGCAGCACTTTTATATAAAGAAAATAAATTAGCATTATTTGGTTGCACTTGTTTTGTCCGATACTGTATATATATATATATATATATATATATATATATATATATATATATATATATATATATATATATATATATATATATATATATATACATATATATATATAAAAATTAGTAGAAAATCACTTTGCAAAATTTTTTTTCATTTAACACTGCGTTTTATCAATTAAGACTCATCAGAAATTTCTGATGATAAAACACATTGTTAAATGAAAAAATATTTTGAAAAATGATTTTCTACTAATTTGTAATTGCTCTTTTTTTTTAAGAACATTGAGCACTCTTTTTGTGGAATACATTTTAAATTGTTTAAATATATATATATATATATATATATATATATATATATATATATATATATATATATATATATATATATATATATATATATATATATATATATATATATATATATATATATTTTTTTTTTTTTTTTTTATTTTTTTTATTTTTACACACATATATACAAATACATTTGCATATGTGTGTGTGTGTGTGTTTATACACACACACACACACACACACACACACACACACACACACACACACACACACACACACACACACACACACACACACATATACATACATATATAATTGGGCAGATACACATATACTTATACATACATATATAATTAGACATATATAACAAACATATACATATACATACAATACACATATACATATACATACATATATAATTAGACATATATAATTACATATATTATTATATAATATATTTTTAATAATATACATATATATATATATATATAATTAGACAGGGCCGCCGAGAACTATCACGCCGCCAGGGACAGCAAACCTGATTGGCACCCTTATTTATCAAAATTTTTTATATTATAGATGAAGGACCTTTTTTTTTAAGGCACTATTTCATTTGGCACCCCTTATATATCTGCCGCCCGGGACAAACTGTCCTCTTCGCCCTCCCTCGGCGGGACTGTATAGGGGCGGATCCAGCATTTTTTGATGTTTAGCATGGAGCAAACACCAAACATTTATATATTTATATATATATATTAAATAAGGATGCTTTGTAAAAAATTGCATTGGTTTGAGTCTGGGTAAAAAATATGTTAACCTAGTAGATAATTGAGTACAAGAAAAAAGGTTTTGGCAAACCTTTTTTTCAAACAATTATTGCAACCTTCAAATGTTATATGAATTATTTTCAAATTATATGCATGACCTTAAAAAAAAAAAAAAAAGTCTTTATTAGCCTTAAACGTAAAAACTGTTTTATTTTTAAGTTAATAATTATGCTTATTTTGACAAAAAATGAATTATTTCTATTAGATGTTCTAAAAACAAAAAAAACAAATTTCGGCAAGTTTTTTGGAAAATGAGCTGTTTTCTTTAAAGTGTTTCTGAAAAAAGTTTAAAATTAGTTTTTTTTTTGTCGAACATTACAGATCTATCACATTCTTTGCAACCCCAAATACCCACTTTCAATTGAAACAAATACCACTAATCTTTTTTTTCGTCAAAATATTTTGCTTTAGAGTTATGAAATAAATTTGATTTCGACATTTCGAAAAGTTTACGCTTTCTTCTGAGTACGGGAGAATAAAATTAAAAACCGAAAGTGAAAGAAAAGTAATGGCGACAAGTAGCGGATTTACCTTTGGTGCAACTAACAACAATAGTAATATATTTGGTGCCAAAACTACAACTTCAACGTTTTCGTTTGGTACCGCTCCTGCGTTTAGTGGATTTGGTTTAAGTAATACTTCTAATGCTTCATCAACTTTAGCATTTGGTGCAACAACAAACACAAATCCTGGATTTTCATTTGGTGGTTTTGGTGCTGGTCTAACATCAACATCATTACCCAGTTCCAGTACAGGTAAAATTCATGAATGATCAATCCTATTGCTTTTTAACATAATTACATAATTTTGTAAAACAATTATTTTTGTTACTTAACGTTATAATATAAATCTTAGTTGTATAAAAAAAACAATATAATCATACAATTTTTTTATTCTGTAAATTTTCAAGTCTCATAAATATATGATACATGGTAAAATTTCAAGTCTCATAAATATATGATGTATAGTATGATAAGACTGTGGTTTTGGTAGGTAAAATAATTACTCCGTGTTACGAAACTGATTATAATATTAACATATTAGTTTTATTTCATAAAGCTAATATGTTAATATAAAATTTTTCTATGAAAGTTGCACTAAATTTTTATTTTTTTGTCTGTTCTGGGCTTATTCTATTCTTAACAGGCTTTTTTTTGTTCTGGGGCATTTAAAAACATAATTAAAAAGTCTTTTCTCTCTGTTATTTTGAAGTTGCATTTAAAAATTTTGTATAAATCATATCATTCTGATTTAAAAGTATAAAAAAATCTCAGTAATTAAGGTTTTTTTAGATATTTTCTAACCTTTTCCAACAAAACATTATTTTTGAGAAAAACTGGTTTTAAAAGTTTAAAAATAACAAATTAAAAGTTTGTCAATTACAGTAATATATATATATATATATATATATATATATATATATATATATATATATATATATATATATATATATATATATATATATATATATATATATATATATATATATATATATATATTATATATATATATATATATATGTTTATATTTGTATATATATGTATATATATATATATATATATATATATATATATATATATATATATATATATATATATATATGTTTATATATATATATATATATATATATATATATATATATATATATATATATATATATATATATGTATATATATATATATATATATATATATATATATATATATATATATATATATATATATATATATATATATATATATATATATATACAGTATTGGACATTAAGAACAATCCACCATGTTATTTTAGTATGGATATAAGTTTGAAATTAAATATTTTATTAACTAAAAGTGATTATTTATTAAGTTTTTTTTATTAAATTAAATCAAATAATCACAATATAAATTTATTATAAAGTAATAACAATTTAAATAAAAATTAAAGCTAAAATATTGAAATTAAAACAAGTGTTCATTTGTATCAAAAAAAAATTATGGCCAAAATAAGCAAACCACAAAAACAAAATTAACAAACCTTAATAAAAACTATTTACAAAACATAATAAAAAATAATTATTATTTTGTTGACAACCCTTTTTTATTTAAGTATTCATTGGTATGATTCAGATGGAGTTTACTAAATTTTGAGTTATCTTCTTTGGATCACTATTCAGTAATTTTGTTACTATTTTTTTCAGCTGGCTCAGATCATTTATTTCAATTTTACCAAGATTGTGGTTCAACCCAGATCACAAATTCTCTATGTTATTGAGATCTGGACTATTGGGAGGTCAAGACATGGCTTTATGTTGATTTCTTTAAACAATTGCTTGAAAATCTTAGCAGCTTGTAGCATTATCTTGTGGTAAGATTCCCATGTCTTTTGGGAAAATGTCAATAGAAGGCGTCAAATAATTATCCAATACATCTAAATATCTTAGAGAATCAAGTCTTCCATCAAATATTTTGAAACGACCAACACCTTTTTTTACCATGTTTTGTTCTATTCGTAGAGCAATTTAGGTCCATTTTGTAATGTGCATTTTGTAATTGCTTTCTTTTCAGCTTTCACTTTTTTTTTCTTAAATCAACTTCAATGTTTATTTTATATCTAAAAGGATTATTGTGCCACATGCCGATAAATATAGTATACCATAAACCCAATTTTATGAGCTAAACACCAGTTTTTTCTTGTTTTCTGATGTTCAATTAATAGACATAGTTTTTCACAAGCAGCTCGCCACATGTAATTATGTTTTTGTAGTACTCTTCTAATTTTTTGAGCACTAGCAGCAACAATCCATTTTGACTGAGATCAGTAGATGATAAATTTCTACTTTTTCACTATGCAATTAAATGAACATTCATTTTATTTTAGTTGAAATGCTGAGTCTTCCAGGGCATTGAAGATTTTGAATTGTATTGTATCTTTAACATCAGCTGATTATTCTACGAAAAGTGGCATGTTTTGTATTAAAATTTTTTTGAAATTTCTCTCTTTAGGATTTTTTGTTCATTCAATACTTTCATTCATTACTATGGTAACTGGCTATGGTTTACTATGGTTTTACATTTTGTTATATTATCAACAAATTTTCCAGTCAATTTGATGGTTTTATTGCTGAAATATTGTAGCTAATTAAATACTGTTTTTTCTATTTCATCTTACTCAAATTTTTCAAATATTTATAACAATTTAAATAAAAATTCTCAAATAGTTATAAATAGTTTGCAAATAAGTGCAAAGTTTTTATTTTAAAAAAATGAAATTTTGATAGAGGTTTGAAATAATACAGTGGATTGTTAATTTTGGCCATAATTATTTTAGATTATATCAATTATATGTCAAAAAAAAGCAATATAACTAGCACTTTGAATAATATTTTTATGAATCTATATTTATTTAAAAGAAGTATATATATATTTATATATATATATATATATATAAATACTGTATGTATATATATATATATATATATAAATACTGTATGTATATATATATATATATATATATATATATATATATATATATATATATATATATATATATATATATATATATATATATATATATATATATACACACCGGGAGGCTGCATAAGCGCAAATTGGCGTAAGTGCGAAGCGTTGCAAAAACTGGCTTAAGTGCGAACTGGCATAAGTAAGAAGCAGTTGCAAAAACTGGCACAAGTGTGAATTGGCATAAGTGCGCCAAACAAATTTGCAAACATTGGCATAAGTGCGAATTGGCATATATGTGAAGTGGTATAAGTGCGAATCAGTTACAAAAACTGGCACAAGTGCAAACTGGCATAAGTGCGAATTGGCATAAGTGCGCCAAACAAATTTGCAAACATTGGCATAAGTGCGAACTGGCATAAGTGCATAGCAGTTACAAAAACTGGCATAAGTGCGAACTGGCATAAGTGCAAATTGGCATAAGTGCGCCGAACAAATTTGCAAACATTGGCATAAGTGCGAACTGGCATAAGTGCATAGCAGTTACAAAAACTGGCATAAGTGCGAACTGGCATAACTGCGAATAGGCATAAGTGCGCCAAATAAATTTGCAAACATTGGCATAAGTGCGAACCAGGATAAGTGCGAAGTAGTTACAAAAACTGGCATAAGTGCGAACTGGCATAAGTGCGAATTGGCATAAGTGCGCCAAATAAATTTTCAAATATTGGCATAAGTGCAAATTAGTATTTCGCACTTATGCCAATTCGCACTTATGCCAGATTGCACTTATGCCAATATTTGCAAATTTATTTGGCGCACTTACACCAATTTGCACTTATGCCAGTTCAAACTTGTGCCAGTCTTTATAACTGATTCGCACTTATACCAGTTCACATATATGCCAATTCGCACTTATGCCATTGTTTGCAAATTTGTTCAGCGCACTTATGTCAATTCGCACTTATGCCAGTTCGCACTTGTGCCTGTTTTTGCAACTGCTTTGCACTTATGCCAGTTCGCACTTATGCCAATTTGCACTTATGCCAATGTGTGCATAATGTTTTGGCGCACTTAGGCCAATTCGCACATATGCCAGTTCGCACTTATGGCAGTTTTTGCAACGCTTCACACTTATGCCAGTTCGCACATAAGCCAATTCGCGCTTATGGCATTTCGCGCTTACGCAGTTCGCACTTATGAAATTTGCGCTTTCAGTCGTCCCTTATACACATACATACATACATATATTAGGGTGTCCCAGGCTATTAGAGTAAAGTTTTTTTTTGGAATTTCAAAACACATTACCTCTTTTTTTTTTTATTTGACTCAAAAAACTTAAATTAATATTATTGAGATCCGATAATGATAACCTGTACCGACTAGATGTCAAATTTTATGTTGAAAAGTTAATATGGAACTATAGGTACATTGGAGAGTTCATTATTTATATTCAGTAAATAAAACACTTTTATAATATTTATGTATTTATGATGATTATAGTAAAAAATTTCATTAAATTTTTTTTCAAAGTTTGCTTTTTATACTTAATGTAATAAAAGTTGCTTTTGCTTCTCTTTGACTGTGATTATACCATAAAATTTTAACCCCTCTGCCGTATTATTAATTGCTCTCAGTTTTAATCTCAGTGTCTTCTTTTTTGCTTGTTGGAATGAATTGTCATTTAACCATAAAAAAGAACTCTTCTTCAGAAAACTGTCATTAATTTTGAGTCAATTAAATAGCAACTTGCTTCTGACAGTAATAAAGCCATCGATGCTTTTTGCTAAAATTAAAACAGAAGGTTATTATAAATGCTGGCAAACTTCTGTAAAATAGTTATCATAAATGCTGGTAAAAACTTCTGTAAAACTGCTTTGGAAATGCTTTGTTTATTGTTTTGCAAGCATTTATTGACTTCAAAAACATAAGTTCTGATAAGAGCTTTACTGCTAAAATGCATTGGAGCCAGAGTTTGGTGTAGGATGTCACAATAAACAGACAAGCATCCTACAAAGTTGCCTTGTCTATGTTTGAAATTCTGAATAGGGAGCTTAGTAATGATATTTTTAACAAATAAATGGCTCTCACCATCCACCAAACCTAGTGCATAACACCTGGAGACTGAATCTTAAATTTCTTTTCTGTATCTCCAACAAGAAATATTATTGAAAACTCAATTAATTTACGATAGTCATCTCTAGCTATTTCTTTAGTCAATTTAAATCGGTAGAATTCTAGCAGTGTTTCAATTTCTGAAACATATAAAACAAAATGACTTTTCTGTACAGATTTGTATTTTTTGGCATGGAGATTTTTCAAGTTTTCTCGGAACATTAAAAAAAACAAAAAACTTTTTAATAATAGTTTGTATACGTGATGACAGCAAGCAAAAATTAAAAATTTCTCTATCCAGTTTTTGTTTGAGGAGCACATATGCATCATTAATACAGCCTGTATTTGAAGCAGTAGTGTCACAACAAAGAATTTGCACTCTGCCTTCAAGATTTTTGTTGAAAAGTTGATAAAGCCATTCCAAACTGCCTGTGCCTGTTCGCTTCCTGATGAGCTGTCCAATTTTAATACAGCGATAAGATTTTCATTATCAACATATGAAATAACTATCGGGGGTCGTTTGTCTTTAGACTTACATGAATCTAGAACCGACAATGGTTTGCTATCCCAGTGGACAGTTATTGTATCTGGGATATTGTTTTGAAAATTAACTTTTATAGCTTCACCCCGCTTTCTTTCTATACGAATTCAATGGAGTAAAAGCTTGCTTATAGAAAAGTTATCAGTGTTATGCCCTAGTGGGTCAATAGTAGCTTCAATCATAAATATAGAATCTCTTAAATCTAACTGACATCTATCTCTCTTTAGAACATGGAATCTTCCCTGATAGACTTAAACTTGCAAGAGTAATGCCAGTATTAAAATCAGGAGACGAGGCTAATATCTCTAATTACAGACCTGTCTCCATACTATCATGCTTTTCAAAATTACTAGAGCACATTATGTATAAAAGATTGTATTACTTTTTAGCTGCAAACAATATTCTTTATAATAAGCAATTTGGATTTAAAAAGAGTCACTCTACTGAACAGGCAATTGTTCATCTTGTTCAAAATAAATTTTAATTGTTTAATGAAAATAAATATACATTAGGTGTACTTATAAATTTCAGTAAGGCTTTCGACACTGTCTATCATTTTATTTTATTAGAAAAATTAGAAAACTATGGTGTAAAAAATATAAATATTTCATGGTTTAGAAGCTATCTGACAAATAGATCGCAATACATTTTTTACAATGATGGTAAAACGACCGATATGAATATAATGTGTGGGGTCCCTCAAGGTTCTATATTGGGGCCACTCCTATTTCTCATCTATATCAATGATTTAAGTAAAGCATGCAGTAAACTAGATACAATTTTATTTGCAGATGATACAAACCTATTCTATGCACATAATGATATAAACATTCTGTTCAAATCTGTAAACAAAGAGCTAATAAATCTTACTGAATATTTCAGTGCAAATAAATTATCACTAATTATAACCAAGACGAAATATACTTTTTACGTGTTCTGCTTGATGAAAATGCGACGTGGAGAGATCACATACATTATCTCAAAAGTAAAATCTCTAAGAACATTGGTCTGATTTGTAGAGCAAAAACTTTTTTAAATCCATATTGCATAAAATTTTTATATTTCTCTTTCATTCATTGTCATTTAAATTATGCAAACATTGCTTGGTGCAATACAAATAAAAATAAAATTAAAAAACTTTTTAACAAACAAAAACATGCAATCAGAATCATATCCAATATGGGACGTTTTACACATTCCCAAGCATTGTTTATTAAGCTAAATATAATGGATATCTACCAAATAAACATCTATCATCTTTTTATATTTATGTTCAAAATTAAGAAAAATTTATCTCTTAAAATATTTAACCCATTATTCAAAATAAATCTGAACAGATACTTAACCAGATACTAGTATAACAGCTACCATCAGCCCACAAATTATTTTGCAGCTACTAAATTTTCAATTTCTACTAGAGGACCAAAAGTATGGAATAAAATATTAACTAATGATCTAATAATTAACTAATGAAACAATTGCAACGCTTAATGAGTTTAAGACCAAATTGAAGCAAAGACTGTTGATGAGCAACGTAGCGCATGGTTTCTTCTAATGTAGGTGTAAAGGTGTATGCTGGTTTAAAAGGAAAGTTTCAGGATTATAAGTATTTGCATGCATACTTTTTAAGTATATAATTTTTTGCTATACTATAGTATTTGCTTTTACTTTAGTATTTAATTTTTGTCCTTTTATTATATCAAAATAAGAAAAAAAGTAGATTTTTATAGTTAGAGAGCGGCATTCAGGACCTATGAATTTTATTTTTGTTTGTTTGTTTGTTGTTTGTTTCTTATAAATATGAAAAGTCTATATAACAATATTTTATTTGCTGTAGTGCTGTAGTTTTACAATTTTTATATTTTATTATTGTGTATTACAGTACAGATTAAGGGGCTTGGTGATAAGACAAATGTCTTCTTTTTGCCCCTGCTATTTGTATTTACATATGTTTTATGTTATGAATAAATTTATATGGCAAAAAAAAAAAAAAAAAAATCTAATGCAGCAACCGACTTGTGCATAGTATTTTTAAGTATTTAGGTTAATGGAGTTTTTCTCATAAAAGTTTTATTGAGCTGAGAGAAAACACCACCTAGGCTGGCTCTGTTTTCTTCTAAATCTATTATTTCAGATTCAGGAGATGAGTTTTTTTGTGATGGTTCATCAAATAATGTTGGAGCTAACAAAGCAAAAATATTTAAAATGTTGCTTTTCCTCTTCAATGGCTCATCTTTTTTTTTTTTTCTGTAAGTTTTTGGTCCACTCTGGGTAAATGACCAGGCCAATCTGGTTCTCTTTAGTCTTTCAAGAAGATCTTATTTTCATTTATTTTAATTAGCTGAAGTGCATCGTATGCATAAGCAATGTCAAACAAGTTGGAAAGAAACTCTTGTCGGCATTGTTCAAACAGATCTTGTATTTTTTTCACATTTTTTGTAAATCTCTCCAAACTTGGTATAATGAAGCAAGCTTCTTAACACAGTCAGCTAATGATTTAGTCTGTAAATGTACTTTTTCCCATGTAAAGAACGAACTCAGAAATAGTAAGATTTGCACTTTCATTGTCACTTAAATTCAATTTAGGAATATTATAGAACAAAATTCCCAGTACTTGTCCCGGTGATTTAATGTTTTATGTCTCCTATTTAAAATATCTCCTTTTTAGAACTTCATAACTGCACTAACATGTTGACTAATCAAAAGCAATGCGTTTATTAATAAAATAAACAAGTAATAACAAGCAAGCAATATAAGATTTACATTGCCTTGTACTGTGCAAGCACAGACTTGTTTTGCTGCAAGTTGGCATGGGTTGTTGTGATCCTAAGTACGCAAAACTTTGTTATAAACTATTTTGCGACCATTCAAACAAAATAAGAGGGTATGGATTAAAAAAATGTCAATTTAATTTTTTTGGGACACCCAAAATATATATATATATATATATATATATATATATATATATATATATATATATATATATATATATATATATATATATATATATATATATATATATATATATATATATTTATATATATATATATATATATATATATATATATATATATATATATATATATATATATATATATATATATATATATATATATATATATATATATATATAAACAAACACATGCAGTTTAATAAAATTGATACTTAATTATTATTTAATAGTTTGTCATTAATTCAAAACTAAAGCTGCTATGGTATAGCATTATCAATTGCTATACTTGTTTCTTATATTTTAGGTAGCTTATTTGGAAGTAAGCCAGCAACGACAGGGTTTAGCTTGTTTGACACAAAAAGTACTACTGCTACATCATTACCTTTCCAGCTAGGTGTAGCAACAAGTGCACCTTCACAATTACAAAGTGATAGTTCATTTGCATTGTATGTTCTTTTCATTTGTTATCATAAAATGTTTTTTTGTAAAGTTGTTTTTTTTAGTCATTGATTGATTAAAAAGTCTATTTTGTTTTTTTTGCATGATTTTGAAATAAAGTGTGTTCATTTATTTGTTTAATGTATTGTTTATATGTTTAAACATACATACATGTACGTAATATAAGTGAAAATGTTGATTGAAATGACTATATCTTTAATGTATATTAAACCACATAAAATTCTATTTATTAAGAAAAAGAAAATTGTAATTTATTTTAGAACTAGATGATATTTTTGCACATTAAACTCAAAAAATTATCTTATTTAGAGCAAAACCACTTGAAAATCCTAAAGAAGAAAAAGTTCCTGCAGAATTTGTTACATATATTAATGAAACAGAGTAAGTTGTTTTCTATTTACAATCAAAATAATTAATATTTTTTTAGAAAGTCAAGTCTGTTATATATATATATATATATATATATATATATATATATATATATATATATATATATATATATATATATATATATATATATATATATATATATATATATATATATATATATATATATATATATATATATATATATATATCAGCAAACTCAATTAACAAAAGGTTTATTATAGCAACATAGTTTACTAAAAAACTAAAAACACAATTTTCTAAATTATTCTTAACAAACTGTAACAACATAATTATACCACCATAAATTGTATATAATTTTTTTTTTATTCATTTACAAGTTTCTCCAGCTGTTAAATCCACTTGTTTTTAATATCAAGTATATTTAGTTTGTTTTTGCTGTATTTGATGCTGTGTTTGATGATATATTTGATGCTCTGCTAATGATTGTGGATTATGAGTTTTAATAATTGATATTAATTTGAAATAATTTTATCATTTGAAATAATTTATATTAATTTGAAAGAATTTTTAATAAAAGATAAAAATTATCTTTGATTCATGTTATTTTATTCATGTTATTTCTCATATTCTAAGTAACTCTTAACTTAAATATTATCTGCTTTCAGTTATTTTGGAAATAAATTTAAATAAAAAACAAACTTATTTTTTCCAGTATAAACAAGATTACTAGCATTTAGTTAAATTGTATTTAAAAAACAATAGACAAATAAGTAGTATGTTATATAGTTAAAAATAGTTGTTTAATTTACTAACAGCTTATTGTAGCTTGAAAGAACTCTAAAGTCACAGTCACAATGGTGTATTTTTTCTTGCTGAATTGTAATTTCATAACAAATAAGTGTTATGGATATCTATATTCTAACATACAAAATTACCAAAATTTATTTGACTACCAAAAGTTTATTCTGCACAGTAAAGAAAATCATATATGTTTAAAAAACATATTGCTTGATTTTGTATTTTATAACAGGCAACAAGGGTTAAATTAAGCAATCACAAAAGTGTTTACCTGGAAAATTATCTGGTCTTTAAACTTTAGTTTATGCAAAACTATGTACTTTGTAAACCGTTAAGCATTTATTAACTGTTACTAATGGTCCAGTAAAACACACGCTGTTTTCAAAATCAATCAATACAAATTTTTTATTGGTTAGTTTTAATATTAATGAACATTTTTCTGGACCATTAGTAACTGAACTTAAAATAAAAAAAACAACATGTTTTTCAGATATTGAAATTCGCAATCCATTAATCAATCCTAAGGTAAATACCATTATGTTTAATGTATAACTCATATGAAATAGCATGTTTTTTGTTCTCATTTTTCTTATTTTGCTGTTATTTTTCTTTCATACAAATTCTACATTGAACATAGCAGTAATTATCTGTTATAAAACACAAAATCTAGTGTTTATATATATATATATATATATATATATATATATATATATATATATATATATATATATATATGTATATATATATATATATATATATATATATATATATATATATATATATATATATATATATATATATATATATATATATATATATATATATATATATATATCCGAAAAAACTGATAATGAGAAAACAAAAAAAAACTTATTTTAGTAGCACATTTACAGAAATTTTCTTTGTCCATTTTTTTAGGACCAAAAATTATTTAATTGGTCTAATATTTAAACAGATGATAGATTTCAGTATATAGAATGTGGAAATAGAATTAACTCAAAATCTTTATTTTTGTGGCTTTTGCAGATAGGCTCCTCCTATTTATTTAGGGTTGCAAAAAAATTATTATAAAGTTCCAATAGGTTAGTTTATAATTTAATTGGCTTTTAATCACCCTTAGCGACAATAACCACCATACATATTCTTGGCATTCTACTTAACGACTAATCCAATTTGTCAAAATCAATTTTATATCACTAACTAATAAGTTTTTTCCACATCTTATGCATAATTAGGCATTAGTTTTTGAGGCATTTACTTTTAATTCCTCCCATAAAAATCCGATAGGAGAGAGGTCTTGCTTAATCATTTTATTCAATTTTTGATCATTCTCCAACTCATTCAAATAACTTATACATTTTTTTAAAAAAAAAATGTTTCAGAGATAAGCCTTAAGTCATTTTCTTTTAAAAAAAACAAATGGGTAATAAGTTATCCATTATCTCAGGTTTTTCAAACATAACACTATGCTACAATTGTTTGGAAATAAAGCTAAAAGTATTCTTTGAAATAAAACAAACAAGGAATAATAAAATATTCAAATAAAGTTTAACATGTGTTTAATTTAAAAATCTTCTAGCTGAAAGTTCTGTTATCACTAACTCTAATATGTTTATTGTTTCCTTGTTATATATATGAGTAATTAAAGTCACCACATATAAGTAAACCTGAATATTGATTTTTTTCTAACAACATATTGGAGCATTTTATTAGATCTACAATTTGCTTGTTATTTTCCTCAATACAAGGTTCTACTTTATAGATATGCCCAAAAAGAATTATTTCATAACCTTTACAAACTGAACACCATTTTTAATTAATATTGTTTCATTATATAAATAACTATTAGTCAAATTAAAAGAACTGATGCTTTCATGAATATAAATGTATACTCCATGTCCCTTATTAATCAGTTTGTTTCGTCTGGAAAAGAAATAACTTGGAATATTTGTTGATATAAATGTATACTCTACCATCTCCTATTAATCTGTCTGTCTTATCTATTCAAAAACAAGTCAGAATGTTTGTTGATGGTGATTAGTAAGTTACTAAGGCCCTGGTCCCAGCTAAAAATAAGACTTTTTGCAAAGCCGGTTTCGGCAAATTTAAAAAATTTTGCAGGAGTTGATAGCCCAGGCTAGAAAAAAATTATATATAATTTACATTATATTTAATATAATGTAAGTATAAACTTGCATTTATGCTTACATTGTATTACTTTATTATTTATTAAATACTGGCATATATTATTATATTTTTAAACTCTAGTTAACTTGTAACAATGTTACAAGCAATCACTATAAAGTTATAAGTTATTAGAATAGAGGATAGAGATAAAAAGCTAATAAGAAGTCAAGCAAGAATAAGTTTTGGTTTATGCTAATATAGGCGATAGCTAGTTTGAGCATTGACCATGATAATATTTGTAGAAATAAAGAAAAAAATGCAACCTTACAACAATGGGAGAGTGGCTCAAGCTTGGCAGATTCTAATTACATTTACAATGTGCTTTTAGACTTTGTCTGAGAGTAAGAAGTTTGTTATTCGTCATTATAGAAATGCCAACAATATTGCAATATATTGCAATATTGCAATATAAATAATTTTTGCTGTCTCAAATAGAGCAAATTTAGATGTAAAATTTTCATAAAAATCCTTGTAGTAGATAAAAAAAAACAATACAGGAGCAAAAATGAAACTTTGTGGTTTAAAGTGGTAAACCTTTAAAGTTACTCAAAATGAAGAAGACTGTAGGCCTTCATGAATAACTTATATTCTGCAGTTAGAATGAAATAATTTCTCAAAAACTTTATATAAAGAAACTAATAACAGAGTGAAGACTAATCCAAGAATAGTTTGAGAGGTCAAAAAGCGTTTTCTAGAGTTTTTTTAAAAATTGGAACCACTTATTTAGTACTTTTAATAGTTATGCAAAAATTGAAAAGAGTTCTGATGGTCACTTTTTAAAGACTATGATGGAAGTCTTGTCTGAAGAAGAAAATGTAGAAGTGTTTAATTGAGAATTAACTTTAGCATAAAAAGCCAGAGTGATTCAGATGTTTAAGAATGGGTTAATCTGTTTAACTGGTATGACAGGAAGAATATGACCATTAGATTCAAGAGTCACGTTAGAGAAAAAGTTCTTTCCAAAAAACTCTGCCATAATCTAAGGAGAAGTAAAAAGATCAGACCCATAAATTAGAGATTAAATGTTAAATTAATGACAATGTAAAGACTTTCCAAAAGTCTCTAGAACCTAACATCTGAGATAAGATACAAGATTTAGTAAATTGAGAATAAAAGATCTTAACATCAGACAGGACCTTTTAACATTAGCTTCTTCCAATAATAAAAGGATATTTGTTCTTGTAAAAAAGATGAAAAAAATGGTTATGTTTTAATTAAGCAACTATTCAAGATGGTGAAAAGTGTGGAGTAGGATGAGACTTGACTTAAAATTGAAGAGAAGAAATAAAAGCTTCGAAAATTTTATTCCAGAAGGAACAAAAGCTTCCAAGATGTGCTTTATGCATACATATTATGGATATAAGCATATATATTTTCTATTTATTTAGATGCTGGCATACAATATTACATATTTATATAAACTTTAGTATTTGTATGGTGTAGTATTTGCCGAAAGAGAAGATGATCAGATGGATGTGTTGTGACTCTAACAAGACAAGAAAAGGAGGCATAATCTTAGATTAGAAAAAAATATTGTATCAAAAAACATTTGTTAGAAAAGATTAAAGTGATTTAGGTATCAGCATGTAGTGAGTAGCAGCTTCAGGAGAAAATGATATTGGTAGAAGTAAGAAAACTTTAAGTGAGTGCTTTACATTTTGTATGAGTGAGCTTCAGTAAAGGAAAGATAATGCTCTAGATTGTTTATATTTAGGTAATTCCAAGTCAAATGACCCAGAAGTTTTGAAAAATGTCACCCTATATCTCAGATATTGCTGATTTCTATACAGTTGAGAGTACTTAGTAAAACAAGAATTCCTTGAAAATTTGAGCCTCTGGTTCCAAGAAGATCCTGAAATATGACCATTTTACTTTTAACAGAAGTTGGCCAGTCCCCTCTTGTCCATTCAGAATTGCAACGTTTATTTAGAGGTTTCAAGTTATATAACTTTAAAAATATTTAATCTTTTTACTTAAAAATTTGTACCTGGCTATTTTTAGGAGTGGCGAAACTGATGAAATGATCAGAAAGGTAAAAAATTATTTTCAAGTACCTGTATTTGTTAATTAAAACAAATTTAGGCAATTCTTTATATACCTGATTTTGATGCTCAAGAAATGTGACCTTGATGATATCAAAAAAAAAAAAAAATTATTACACCTCATTTTATGTTCATTGATCTTTCATAAAATATAAAGATTTTAATCTGCTAGTATATGGATATGCATATATGGATAATGGGGCACAGTCTTTACTTTTTTGTAGCGGAGTATTGCAATTGATTCTCACTACCTTTTAAACTAGCTGGAGCTCTGAAAATTTTGACATTTCTGTAGTACCAATGAATGTACATGTTAAAATTGTTTTCAATGCCCCAAGACATTAGGGAGGGGGGACTGAGGCAAGTGCCCCACTTTTTTGTAGTGGAATCTGGTGATAGATTTTTCACTACTTTGGACAAACTGGAGCTCTGAAACTTTCAGCATTTGTGTAGTCCTGATAAACGTGTATTTTCAGCCAGAAGGCTGGGGCACTGGGAGAGATGACCCACTTTTCTCAAAAATCTTTTTGAATTTTTAATAAAGATTACTTTGAAAATATTTTTTCAAAAAATTTTTTTGGTTTATATTCGTTCCATTCAGTTTTTAAACATTCTGTATTCAATGATCTTTTTTTTTTGTAAATTCACCTCTTCAAGGCCGAGAAGGCCACTACAGACAAGGATTCTACTTATTTGTGGTTGTAACCCTCTCTCAACTCTATAACTTCGAAACACAAACCTTGAAGAACAAGGCTGCTGCATGGAGAAACGAGTTGAATTAAAGGGATCATTTTTTTCAAAAATGATAAAATAAACACTGACAGAATTGCACACCACTTTTTCAAAAACGTTTTCAGCTAAGTACAAAAATTCCTAGAACTAAGATTCTTGGAACTATCCTGGAACTAGAATCTATAGATACTGTTAGCTTTAAACAAACAAGTGAACCTAACACTCGTCTGCTAGAGCAGACGAGTGTTAGGTTCCAAAAACCAACATAATTTGTATCATTGATGCACTTGTAACAACAACTGGATGTACGTATCTTTTGACGCATCTAAGCAAATCTTAAAACAATCCTGAAACTAATATTTTTGCAACAGCAGTAAAAAAAAAATGTTTCATTACGAAGGAGACTACAGAAGTTTAAGTTCTGTTTTCAACATTTTAAAATAGTATAACTTTTATTATTAATAATAGAGTATTTTTGTATTTTACTTTGTAAATAATTAAATAAAACTTTTTTTGAAGACAATATTTTCAAAGTTATCTTCAAAAATTCAAAAAAAAAAAGTTTTTTTTGAGAAAATAAATGGGGTATGGCCCCAGTACCCGGGCCATGAAGCCTCTGCTTGTTTGCCCTGGAAACAATTTTAACACACGTTCATCAGGACTACACAAATGCTGAAAATTTTATAGCTCCAGTTAATCTGGAAAGTAGTGAAAATCTATCGCAAGATTCCACTACAAAAAAATGGGACAAGTACCCCATGTCCACCCCCTCCCCCACCCCTAATATCTTGGGGCCCTGAAATTAATTTTAACATGAACATTCATTGGCATTACAGAAATGCCAAAATTTTAGAGCTTTAGCTAGTCTGGAATGTAGCAAATAATCACTTGCAATATTCCGCTACAAAAAAGTGGAGACTGTGTTCCATTATCCATATATGAAAACCCATATACTTGCAGATTAAAATCTTTATATTTTTTGAAAGATATAGAATAATGTAAAGTAGATATTTTTTTGATATCATTAAGGCCACATAGGTTTCTTGAGCATTAAAAACAGGTATAAAAAATTTTTTTTAATCATTTCATTGGATTCGTCTCCCACAAAAATAGCTATTTATAAATTTTTAAGTAAAAAAATCAAATATTTTTAAAGTAAAGTGACTTGAAACCTCCAATTAAATGTTGCAATTCTGAGGGGACAAGAGGGGTTTGGGCAATAACTGCTAAAAGTAAAACTGTCATATTTCAGGATCTTCTTGGAGCCAGAGGCTAAAAATTTCAGGAATTCTTATTTTACTAAGCACTCTCAACTGTATAAAAATCAGCAAAATCTGAGATATATGGTGACATAACCTGATGTCATCTGACATTAAATTACCCATTAGAGAAACAGCCTAAAAGAGGAAGGCTAAAGCCTGATGATGATGATAATGATGATGATGATGATGATGATGATGATGATGATGATGATGATGATGATGATGATGATGATGATGATGATGATTATAATGGTTATGATGATCATAATGAAGTTTATATATGCATATATATACAAAATATAACATGAATTTTGAATTAAAAAATATACTTTAGGGTGTATAAATGTTTATATAGCCCTGGTCACAAACATTGACCCCAGCTATATTTTATCAAACCTGGCCCCAGCCCTGGTCAAATTTTAACGCCTGTTGCTTCCTATTAGTGATTTATTCCACCATATCTTACATAACACTTCATAAAATTTGTTAGGCTAATTTTAATATCAATTAAATCCATCAAACTTGCTGTTTAGTAGTTTTGCATTACAGCTTGACTGTATTTATTTATAGTTTTTTCAGATTTTATTTTATTCTATGTAGTTTTTTCAGATTTTACTTCTTCGAATACCATATCAAAAAGGTTTGTTGAAAGTTCTTTCTATAGCAAGTTTCTGTTGCATTTGTTCCTGTCAATAACTAGTTCTTTTGTTTATTTCCTTTCAACCTCATTTTGATTTGGATTAATGTATACTTTTGGAAAATTATTCAATGTTTTAATCTTTCTAGCAGCTTTTAAAATTTATACTCAGTATTGTTGGTTAATTCTACTAGGACTGCGTAATGCATCATTCCTGGGTTTGAAACAAACTTTTTTGATTATAATTTTGTCTACACTTATTTCACTAGATCATTTACCAATTAGGATCCAGTACTCTTTTTTTGAGTATCAATCTTTTTTGAGTTTGGCAACGACAATAACATTATCTCTCTAATGTCCTTGTTTAAAGTAACAATTGCCCTAATAGCTTAAAAATTTTATTTAAATTAATCTCTCAGCAATCAAAGGCCCAATTTTTCAAGTTACTTTTAGTTTTATCTTTTTTTTCTAATGCTGCAAGATCATTTAGATTTTTGTTTATATATACATACATATATATATATATATATATATATATATATATATATATATATATATATATATATATATATATATATATATATATATATATATATATATATATATATATATATATACATACACACACACACACACACTAACACACACACACTAACACACACACACACAATATTACAATTATATTACTATATAACAGTGTTAAAATTGCTTTGAACAAAAAGTTAAAACTATATTTTAAAAAGGTATTTTTAAATATTCAATTTAAAATTGTATTAAATTATAAGATATTATAATCTAATATTATTAATATGACATACTATAAATATAAACTTTTAGAAAATATGTGTTATAATTTTTATCAATGTAATGAAAATCAATCAATACATTTTACTCACAAAAAAGGATAATCCTAAAGTTAAGAGGCCTAAAATAATTCTATTTTTGCGCTTTAGTTTTAGAAATCTTCTTTATCAATCTTTATCAATCTCTTAATGAGATAAAGTGAATAAGAATAAGATAAATACCTGTGATTAGTCAAATTATTTTGTTTTTCAGGAATTATCTTAAAACGCAAAGAGAATTGAAGGATGAAATATCCAGAATATCTTCACAGACAGTTAATGAGATTCAAGATCAGTTAAACACGATGAATCAGGTGCAGTGTTTGTCTGCTATAAGTTTATTTTATTTTATATACTATCAGGGTTCCCACTCCTCCTTAAAAACCTTAAATATCCTTAAAAAATAAAAACCTCCTTAAATGTCCTTAAATAATCTTAAAGAAAATTAAAATTTGACTGCGCTTCTTAATTTCTCCTTTTTTTTTTTTTTATCATCTAGGAAATTTTATTTAAGTAAATGGATTATACTTATTAATAAAGAAGAAAATATATAGTTCTTTGATAGTTTGCATATTTCTCCTTAAAATCCTTACTTTTAGCCTCAGTTTTAAATGGGAACCCTGACTATCTTTTATTTCTCTGCATGTTTACATTATTAATTTGATTGTTTAGGCAATTGCAATAATATCAAATAGTTTGCAAAGAGACAAGCTAGCTGCTGAATATCTTAAAAATCAAGTTGGCCAGGTTTATGCCTTATTTTTCTTTGAATATTAACAAATGCTTAAGTAAAAAAAATTATAGCATAGTATATAATCCCATTATGTATAAATATATAATCTTAATTTATATAAAATATATAATCCCCGTTGTTACATAGTTGCTAGCATTTAAATATTAGCGTTTAAATATTTCAGATTTTTTTACATAGATTTTTACCATAGGATAGAGAATTATGAAGCTTTGGCTACTTTTACTAAATTAGTTAAGAAAAAAAATTAAGTAATGGGTAGCGAAAAAAAAGTTTTTCTGAAGAAAACTCTTTTTAGATTTTTGCAGTAGGATAAGGAAGTCTAAAACTTGATCTAGATTTTTACCATAGGATAGGGAAGTCTAAACCTTTAGCTATTTTTTAGCAAAAAAATATATAGCAAAAAAATATATATGGCAAAAAAAAAAACAAATTTTCTTTAAGAAAACTATTAGTCAAACTTTCATAAAAAGTTAAAACTTTTTAAAGTTGTTTAAGGAACATCTTTATAATCATAATTAATTGACTCAAATTACTCTGTTTAGTGAGATTTATTTTTTTAATGAAATATACTTACTCATAGTAAAGGTGTCATTGAGTAACTCCTGCTCATGATTGATTTAAATCTATAGCTTTATTCTATAGCTACTGGGCTCAACCTGTTGAGGATTTAGAGAGTTTAAAAATAATAAAATAGCATTTTTTTATTTAAAAATTTTAACTTTTGTATAAATAAATTTTTAGCAGCACGATTCATATTGATGGTCCTATTTAGTCTCTATCAAACAAGCAATGCTTTTTTTAGTCTTTAAACTTATATATTATTAGTTTTAACATGAGTTAGTTTATAATATTTCAATTATAACTTAAATTCAAAGTTTCTTGGTTTATATTGACCTTAAAAAACTTTTAGTCAGTTTAAATTTTAAAAAGCTTCTTTAATCAGAATAATTTGCAATAATAAAATAATAAAAAATTCTTTAAAGAAATCTCACATACTGAATGTAATCTCACATACTGAATACTATCTCATACTGAATGTGAAAAAAAATCAAAAATTTCATTAGACCAAACATCAATTCCAATCTTGAAGTTTTCGGTAGTTCGTTCCAACTGCAGAAGTAACTTATTTAGTCTAAACAAAGGAGAAACTGCATATATTTAGGTAGAAAGGGAATGCATATTTTTAGGCATAAAGGGAAATGGATTTGATAGTGAATAATATATTATAATGTAAATAAAAATATTATTAGATTAATATCTCTTCACTTCTTCAAGAAATTGCTGAGACAGAATCAAATGATTTAAATATGACTGAGAAACTCTATGGGCTCTGCTATTTATATCTTGGTATTTATATAATGTATTATGTTTTCATAATTTTAATATGATTAGTTGGAGTATATTTATCTTTATGTTATATTACGGTTTAAATTAATTTTGTTGGTTTCTTTTGTCATTTTAATGGAGAGCTTACGATGTTATAAAATTATTGGCACCTCTTAACCTTGAAAAGTTAATTTAAGTCTGACATTCCATCCAAAGTCAACTATATGAAAACTTTGTAAAATTATGAAAACACACACTCACAAACACACACTCACACACACATCGTTATATTAAGGACTTAAAAGTAAAATATTTTACGATTATTTAGATAATATACATATTTAGCATTTAATTTAGGTTTTTTTTGGTAAAATAAAGTGTTTACTATTGTTTATGATTGTTTAAATGCAAATAAAATCAGAAGTGGAGAGAGTTTCAACCAATCAACTTAGAGATATCTAACTTTTTGTAAAGTGCCTCTTTTGGTTTAACATAGATTTTGTTTAAAAGAAGAGATCCATTTGCACTTATATTTTCATGCTATTGTTTATAATTTGATGAAATTTTGTGTGTATGTCTATCATAATCTTTTTTTTAAAATCAAAATTTGATTTTAACAGAAAGTTTCTTTTTTGTTATCATATTATTAACATTATAAGAAACAGAAAAGAATCAAATATCAAAAAAGAATATCAGAAAAGAATCTAATATCAAAAGTAGAGTATTATGCAAATATGCTTGCCACTTTAAATTTAAGATGTTATCTAAAATTGATGTAATAATATATACAAACAATAAATATTTGTTACAAAATGATTTAGATATATGTGAATAATAATACTTAGATTTGCTCAATTTCTTTATTCAATGTTTTTAAATTAAGTTTAATTTCTTTTTGTAGGAATTAAAAAATACAGAAACAGCTCGTCTTATTCGTGATCTACCTCTATCCAATCTGCATGACTTTAATGCTCCTATGCAATACTTTCAATCACTTGTTCTTACTTTTCAAATTAGAATAAAAAAATCTCGCCAAGAAATAGAAGAGCTAGAAGTCTTTCTATCTTCATCTTCACCCTCTAATCAATTTACTCCACAAGGTAAGTTAGCGCATGCAACAACTACACCCATAGTTTGTACTTATAATTTGAAGTAAAAAAAGGAATTAAATTTGTATTTTATTAGATTTTAGTTTACAGTCATAGGTAACTATTACCCAATAAAACTTGTTGATTTAATTAAAAAACAATATATTTAGTTTTTTAATGTAAAGAATTAAATATCTTTTATATAAACCTTTAATCTATTTTAGATTTAAAAGTTGTACTTAAAAGGCTAAGTGAATCATTTCTTGGACTTGCTGCTGAACTCCAGACTGTCCATGAAGCTGTTAAGGTTAGATATAAACATCTGTATTATCTTAAAATAATCTGTATTATCTTAAAATTTCAGTCAGGTCAGGTTTATCCTGCTAATGGTAACATTTAACCCAGTAGAATCTGCTTCATGTCCTGCTGCCTTGTAGGATATGCCTTTTTAGGCAAAGGCTAGGAGATGCAAACTCCGACATAAAACACCCCCTGCCTTGGGGCTCTTGGTTGAGTAAAGGCTAGAGATGGTGTCTCGATAAAAATACTCATCTTGGGCAGATGTTACATGCATCCGGCTGCTGTCTTGTAGAAGGCCTCCTAGGCAAAGACTTAAGGGGTAAACAGATTTTATCTGTTGACCAGCCTCGCACCCCTTCCTCATCTATTAGGCTGGCGCAGATGTATTTTTAATACATTGTTTCCAGTTTAGGATGTTGAACACTGGATCTTCTTGACTCAATTCATGGGTTTTGGTTGTGTCTCTGTTTTTATGACTAGGCAACTAATTCTATTATCTCCAAATGAGGGTACAGCTCTAAAACTCAGTTTTATGGTTCTGAGGCCGGCTGGTAGTCAGGTTTCCCGAACTCTGTGGTAGCTCTCAGAGAGGCTGATTCCATCAACAGCTGAAAAATATCAGAGTACTAACAGTGCCATGTTGCGCATGGATGGTATCCCTGTTTGTACTTTTGGTGTGCATTGCCAAGGCCACATTGGAGCCCTTTGTTACGGCTCAGGGTTTATTAGTGGAAATGAGGCAATTGCTTGAGCTATAGAACAGTGTACTGAGTACTATCAATGTTTCGAGTCAAGTTCTTTAACAAATTTAAAAATGAATAAAATAACAAAAACTATAAAACACAAAAAACCACAGTCATCACCAAGTTCGCTAAACCTATCATTCACCAATATTCGTGGTCTTCGAAGTAACTTTTCTTCTGTTGAGTCTTATCTCTTGCAAAGTTCACCAGACCTGCTTGCTCTTTGTGAGTCTAATTTGAATTCAGCTGTCTCATCTTGTGATCTTAGTGTTGATGGTTATCTTCCTTTAATTCGTAAAGACTCCATTAGTCACATGCTTGGCCTGGGCATTTACATTCATAAGAATTCACCCATTTGTCGGGAAACTAGGTTTGAATCCACAGACTGCTCTTTTATGTGCTTTCGTTTAGCACCACTTCACTCTATCACCTTTCTCTTTGTTCTATATCGCTCTCCCTCATCCCAAGACTGCACTCTTCTTGATGTTATTTCTGATTATATTGACCAAGCCCTCATTCTTTATCCATCAGCCAATATTGTTGTTGTCGGTGACTTTAATGTTCATCACACTGAATGGCTTGGCTCTAGTGTCAGTGACTCTGCAGGCATTAAGGCCCACAACTTTTGTCTTTCTCAATCCCTAACTCAAATAGTCAACTTTCCAACTCGCTTTCCAGACAACCCGAATCATTTACCTTCTCTACTCGACTTATGTCTTGTTTCTGATCCTAGTCAGTGCTTAGTTTCTTCACACTCACCCTTAGCTGCGTCTGATTATGGTTTGGTCTCTCTAAAACTATTATCTCATTCTTCTTTACCATTAGAATCCCCCTATCATCGTACATCTTACAACTACCTTAAAGCTGACTGGGACTCTTTCCGTGATTTTCTTCGTAATGGCCCCTGGGTAGAAATCTTTCGTCTCCCTGTTGACAAATGTGCTTCTTACATAACTTCGTGGATTCAGGCTGGCATGGAATCTTTTATTCCCTCTCGACGATTCCAGGTCAAGCCTCACTCTTCTCCATGATTTTCCTCACATTGTGCTGCTGCAATTGCCAATCAAAACCATTACTTCCATATCTATCAGCAAAACAATTCTCTAGAAAAGAGACGTCTCTTTATTACTGCTAGGAACCATTGTAAAAAGGTTTTGTCTAACGCCAAAACCCGCTATTCTCAGATCATGAAATCTCGTATTTCATCACAAAAATTAGGCTCTCGTGACTTCTGGAGAATCTTTAATAGTATCAATAATAAGGGCAAGTCTGTAATTCCACCTCTTTTGTACGGTTCAGACTTTGTCACCTCACCTAAAGACAAAGCTGAATTGTTTGCCAAGAACTTTTCATCAATATCATCTCTTGATGCCACTAGTTGCGTTTTACCTGATATAGCCGTCAAACAGGTTGATCCATTGCTCGACTTTCATATCACTCCAGCTTCTGTATCTAAAGTGATTTCCCGCTTAGACTCTTCTACAGCTTGCGGCCCGGACAACATATCTGTTATAGTCTTGCAGAAGTGTTCTCCTGAGCTGTCGTCTATCTTTTCAAAACTATTCAACAAGTCCTTATCAGAGTCTTGTTTTCCAGCCTGCTGGAAAGCAGCATCTGTTATCCCTATTTTTAAAAATTCTGGAGAGCGATCTGACTCATCTAACTACCGTCCCATTAGTCTTCTTCCTATCATAAGCAAGGTTTTTGAATCTTTAATTAACAAACACCTAATCTCTCATCTCGAATCTCATAACCTATTTCTGATCATCAGTATGGATTTCAATCTTCTCGTTCTACGGCTGATTTGCTATCAGTAATAACCGATAGGTTTTATCGCGCATTAGATAAAGGTAGAGAGGTTAAGGCCATTGCTCTTGACATTTCTAAAGCGTTTGATAAAGATTGGCTTGCTGGTCTCCTCCATAAGCTTTCTTCTTATGGTGTATCTGGAAACATCTTTAAGATTATTGAATCCTTTCTTTCCAATCGTAGTATAAAAGTTGTCCTTGACGGACAGCACTCTTCTTCTTAGTCTGTAACCTCAGGGGTTCCCCAAGGTTTAATCCTTGGCCCTATACTCTTTTTAATTTACATTAACGATCTTCCAGATATTCTCACATCTAAGGTGGCATTGTTCGCTGATGGTACTACTATTTATTCTTGTCACGATAAGAAGCCAACTCCCTCTGATTGCTTGTAGGGGGCATCTGAGCTCGAAAAAGGATCTCACTTCTGCTACAGCATGGGGCTCGCAGTGGCTGGTGAACTTTAATTCAGATAAAACTCAATTTTTTTCCGCCAATCGTTATTGCAATAATTTAGACCTTCCTATATTTATGAACGGTAATGTACTCGATGAGTCTCCTACCCTTCATCTTCTAGGATTAACTCTTACTTCTGATCTTTCTTGGAAACCTTATATCAAATCCGTTGCAAAATTAGCATCTGCTAAAGTTGCTTCTCTTTATCGAGCTTGCCTCTTTCTTACTCTGGATTCTATTCTCTATCTCTATAAATCTCAAATCCGGCCTTGTATGGAATACTGTTGCCATATCTGGGGCAGATCTTCTAATGATGCCCTTTCTCTTTTAGACAAGGTGCAAAAACGCATTGTAAACATAGTTGGACCTGCTCTTGCAGCCAACCTTCAACCTCTGTCACATCGTCGTAATGTTGCTTCTCTTTCTCTTTTCTACAAATACTCTAATGGGCACTGCTCTAAAGAGCTAGCGTCTCTTGTGCCATCTACTAAAATTCATTCTCGTGTTACTCGTCATTCAATTAAGTCTCATCCTTTTTCTGTTACTGTTCCTAAGTGCTCCAAAAACTCTTATTCGTCTAGTTTTTTTCCTCGAACATCAGTTCTTTGGAATTCGCTTCCTTCATCTTGCTTTCCTGATTCATATAATTTGCAATATTTTAAGTCGTCTGTCAATCGTTATCTTGCTCTAAAATCTTCATCTTTTCTCTTCCAGTAACTTCTAACACTAATTAGTGGTTGCTTGCAACCTTGTTGGAAGCGAAGATAATTAAAAAAAAAAAGTAATAAAAATAAAATAGTTTTTATAACTTTGTTCAGAGGAGATATTTAGAAATTATTTATAAAATTTATTTTTTTTTATTTACTTTTCTCTGCATAACTATAGGGTAGGGGAGTAAATCTTCAAATTAGAAAAAAATGTCCTACATTTAAAACCCTTCCTTGCTAAAACTTATATACTTAAACTATATACTTAAGTAGTATATATAAAACTATATACTTAAAAATGTTTCCCATCATGCTTTTGTACAAAGTCGTACAAAAGCACTAAAGTAAATAAAAGATCTAAATCAAATGTTTCAAAAAATATATAAAAGAAAAATTCACAACATCCATTGCGCCAAACTAGTTAATTATGCTGTATAAAATGGATTAGTATACATTTGTTTTTAAGAAATTTAGCAATTGATTTAAAGGTATAAAGCTATTCTATTTTCCTTCCATCCTGACTCCCCCTACAACTAGGTAGAGAAATTTTAAAGTTTAACTTATATAGTAAATAAATGAGACTTCAATAATCAATAAGTCCTTAAATGAAAAATAAGTTCTTCAATAATCAAGTCCAAATTAGTTTTTTAGATTAAAAAATAAGATTATAAACTCACATTAGCATAATATATCACAGCATTTAAGTTTTCTAATTTTTTTTAATGTTTTCTAATTTTTAGATGATCAAACAAAAGTATTTACAGTTTCTTCGTTCAACATTTAATGATTATAGCGATCCCTTCACTTCAAGACGTAAAAAAGACTTGCGAGGTAGGTAAGAAATAGGCAAAAATCTTTTTCAAAGATTTGCACGTCATAATATTTATTATTGACCAAATATTTTGCGTATGTTTGTAAGAAGTGCTATTTAAAAAAATGTAGGCACATAAAAATTATAAAGTAATATTATATAAAATATTAAGTATCGACAAGATATGTACATAAGATGCATGAACCAAATAGTTTTTTTAAAAAAAGTTAACGTTTGAATAATCGAATCGTTAAATAACATTCGTTTGAATAACAAGTATTCGTTAACGTTTGAATAACGATTAGATTAATCTTTATTAAATCGTTGTTTCAACTGATTCCGATTCTCGAAGTTATTTTTAAAACTATTAATTTATTGTTTTAGAAAAAGAGCCATCAGATTTTAATGGACCATCGCCATTTCCTATGATTCAAGGAGCTGGAATTATATCCGGTGCATTTAAAATTGACAATAAGCGTGAGTTTTTGTATTAGACTTTATTTTTCACTTAAATTTTTAATGCAAAGTAAACAAAATTTTCTTTATTGGATTTATTTTTATAGCTCAAAATCTTGGATATAATTTACGAAATTCTTCTGCTTTTCCGAAGCCTTCTGGTACTGGTTTAACTCGCAGTTTGTCATTTGATGAAATTGCTAAGTCAACTCCGTTCAGTGTTTCAACGGAATTTGGATCGTCAACTAATAACAATTTGCCTTTAGGGCAATCACCAGCCACTAGCTCATCTTCTAATTCATCTTTCAAGCTTCGAAACCCTCCCAATGGAAAAAGGGGAAAGTTATATTAGCTGATAGTTTAGCGGAGATTTGACAAAGATTCAATCTAGTTTACTATCATTAAAATATAACTTTTAAATTAAAAACTCTATTTATCGCAATAATGGGAATTTCCAGTTGTATAAAAAATATTTCAACTATAAAAATATAACTTCTTGTTGATTTTTTAAAATATTTTCTTAATAAATTTTGATAACGCAAATTTGTTACCAAATATTTTGTAAAAACTGTGTTACGTCTAAAATAGATCATTTAGTCGATCTTAACATCTAGTCTACTTTTCTTCTTCTTTTTTCTTTTTTTTTTCACTGTGAGGATTTTTTACCCCCCTAAAACCACGGGCATTGCAATCAAAATCTTTTTTAATTGCATTTTTTATTAAATCTTTAACTTCAAACATGATCCTTGACCAACAAGGCCACTTCGCGGAGAAATAAATTGGATAAATATTTTACTGACACTTTTTTTTTTTTTTTTTACATCTTTACTTCCAACAAGGCTGCAAGCAACCACTATAAGAGTTGGAAGTTACTGGAAGAGAAAAGACTAAATCTGTAGAGCAAGATAACGATTGACTGATGACTTAAAAGATTGCAAATTATATGAATCAGGAAAGCAAGATGAAGGAAGCGAATTCCAAAGAACTGATGTTCGAGGAAAAAAACTAGAAGAATAAGAGTTTTTGAAGCACTTAGGAACAGTCACAGTAAAAAGAATAAGACTTAATTGAATGGCGAGTAACACGAGAATGAATTTTAGTAGATGGCACAAGGGACGCTAGCTCTTTAGAGCAGTGCCCATTATAGTATTTGTAGAAAAGAGAAAGAGAAGCAACATTACGACGATGTGACAAAGGTTGGAGATTGGCTGCTAGAGCAGGTCCAACTATGTTTACAATTCATTTTTGCACCTTGTCTAAAAGAGAAAGAGCATCATTAGAAGATCCGCCCCAGATGTGGCAACAGTATTCCATACAGGGACGGATTTGAGATTTATAGAGATAGAGAATAGAATCTGGAGTAAAAAATTGTCGAGCTCGATAAAGAGATGCAACCTTAGCAGATGCTAATTTTGCAATGGATTTGATATACGGTTTAAAAGAAAGATCAGAAGTAAGAGTTAATCCTAGAAGATGAATGGTAGATGACTCATCTAGTACATTACCATTCATAAATATAGGAAGATCTAAATTATTACGATAACGATTGGCCGAATAAAATTGAGTTTTATCTGAATTAAAGTTCACCAGCCACTGTGAGCCCCATGCTGAGCAGAAGTGAGATCCTTTTCAAGCTCAGATACCCCCTCCAAGCAATCAGAGAGTGTAGGCTTCTTATCATGACAAGAGTAAATGGTAGTGTCGTCAGCGAATAATGCCACCTTAGATGTGAGAATATCTGGAAGATCGTTAATGTAAATTAAAAAGAGTATAGGGCCAAGGATTGAACCTTGAGGAACCCCTGAAGTTACAGGATGTGAAGAAGAGTGTTGTCCATCGAGGACAACTTTTATACTACGATTGGAAAGAAAGGACTCAATAATCTTAAAGACGTTACCAGCTACACCATAAGAAGAAAGCTTATGGAGAAGACCAGCATGCCAAACTTTATCAAAAGCTTTAGAAATGTCAAGTGCGATAGCCTTAACCTCTCCACCTCTATCTAATGCACGGTAAAACCTATCGGTTATTACTGTTAGCACATCAGCTGTAGAACGAGAAGACCGAAATCCATATTGATGATCAGAAAGTAAGTTATTTGATTCAAGATGAGAGATTAAGTGTTTGTTGATTAAAGATTCAAAAACCTTGCTTATGACAGGAAGAAGACTAATTGGGCGGTAGTTAGATGAATCAGATCGCTCTCCGGAATTTTTGAAAATAGGGATAACAGATGCTGCTTTCCAGCATGATGGAAAACAAGACTCTGATAAGCACTTGTTAAATAGTTTAGAAAGTATGGATGAAAGCTCCGGAGAACACCTCTGCAAGACTACAACAGGAATGTTGTCAGGACCACAAGCTGTTGAAGAGTCTAAGCAGGAAATTACTTTAGATACAGAAGCTGAAGTGATGCGAATGTCAAGCAAGGGATCAACCTGTTTGACGGCTATGTCAGGTAAAACGCAACTAGTGGAATCAAGAGATGATATTGATGAAAAGTTCTTTGCAAACAATTCAGCTTTGTCTTTAGGTGAGTCGACAAAGTCTGAACCATACAAGAGAGAAGGAATAACAGATTTGCCCTTATTATTGATACTGTTAAAGATTCTCCAGAAGTCTCGAGAGCCTAATTTTTGTGATGAGATACGAGATTTAATGACCTGGGAATAGCGAGCTTTGGCGTCAGACAAAACCTTTTTACAATGGTTTCTGGCGATAGTGAACAGATGTCTGTTTTCTGGAGAATTGTTTTGCTGATAGATATGGAAGTAACGGTTTCGATTAGAAATTGCTGCAGCGCAATGTGAGGAAAGCCAAGGAGAAGAGTGAGGCTTGACCTGGAATCGTCGAGAGGGAATAAAAAATTCCATGCCAGCCTGAATCCACGAAGTTATGTAAGAAGCACATTTGTCAGCAGGAAGACTAAAGATTTCTACCCAAGGGCCATCACGAAGAAAATCACGGAAAGAGTCCCAGTCAGCTTTAAGGCAGTTGTATTTGGTACGATGATAGGGGGATTCTGATGAAGTAGAAGAATTTGATAATAGTTTTAGAGAGATCAAACCGTGATCAGAAGTACCTAAGGGTGAATGTGGAGAAATTGAGCACTGACTAGGATCCAAAACAAGACATAAGTCGAGTAGAGAAGGTAAATGATTAGGGTTGTCTGGAAAACGAGTTGGAAAGTTGACTATTTGAGTTAGAGATTGAGAAAGGCAAAAGTTGAGAGCCTTAACGCCAGCAGAGTCACTGACAATAGAGCCAAGCCAATCGGTGTGATGGGCATTAAAGTCACCAACAACGACGATATTGGCAGATGGATAAAGAGAGAGGGCTTGGTCAATTTGATCAGAAATAACATCAAGAATAGTGCAATCTTGGGATGAAGGAGAGCGATATAGAACAAAGAGAAAGGCGATAGAGTGAAGTTGTGCTAAACGAAAGCACATAAATGAATAGTCTGGAGATTCAAACCTAGTTTCACGACAAATGGGTGAGTTCTTACGAATGTAGATGCCCAGGCCAAGCATGTGATTATTGGAGTCTTTACGAATTAAAGGAAGATAACCATCAACACTAAGATCATAAGATGGGACAGCCGAACTCAAATTAGTCTCACAAAGAGCAAGTAGGTATGGTGAACTTTGCAAGAGATAAGACTCAACAGAAGAAAAGTTACTTCGAAGACCACGAATATTAGTAAATGATAGGTTTAGAGAACTTGGTGATGACGATGGTTTTTTGTGTTTATTAGTTTTAGGTACTTTAGTCATTTTAAATTTATAAAGAACTTGACTCAAGTATAGATAGTACTCAGTACACTATTTAACAACTAAGCAATAGCCTCATTACTATTAATAAACCCTAAGCCGTAGCAAAGGGCTCCAAATGTGGCCTCTGCAATGCACACCAAAAGTACAAACAGGGACACCATCCATGCGCAACATGGCACTGTTAGTACTCTGATATTTTTCGGCTGTTGATGAAATCAGCCTCTCTGAGAGCTATCACAGAGTTCGGGAAACCTGACTACCAGCCGGCCTCAGAACCATAAAACTGAGTTTTAGAGCTGTACCCTCATTAGGAGATAATAGAATGAGTTGCCCAGTCATAAAAATAGAGACACAAGCAATACCCACGCATTGAGTCAAGAAGATCCAGCGTTCAACATCCTAAACTGGAAACAATGTATTGAAAATACATCTGCGCCAGCCTAATAGATGAGGAAGGGGTGCGAGGCTGGTCAACAGATAGAATCTGTTTACCCCTTAAATTACCCCTTACACTTAATTATTTTTCAACAGCTCGACTATTGTGCTTCATTGTGTTGCAAATTACAAGGAGGGAAAATAATACTTTAAAAAGGCAGACCTAATTGTGTGCTTTCGCAATGGTATAAGCTGCGTTGCAACATTTTAAAGAAGCAGACAATTTTTTTTCCAATCTGGGAACATGGTAAAATGCAATATCTATAAATTAAATCCCGCGATGCTTAAACAAATTTAAAATTAAGCTAATGGGCTGCATTTTTTTAAATGCTGTTAACACGTGTGTCAGAGTTAATCATCAATGGGCTGTAGCTTTTGTTATATTAAAATCCTTACATTTCTAGACAAACCCTTTTCAATTGTTGACAAGTCTTTTTAGTTCAGTTCTTTTTTCTCTAGAATATCGGATAACCAAAGTACATTTTATCGGGAAAAAACCCGATAAAAACTGTTTTTTTCCCAATAAAATCTCCTTTTCTTTATTGTCAAATTAATAAACAATTTCACTAGCTTCACAAGCTGTCAAGATTTAACCAGTCTTCTACTTAGGTAAATCTTTAATAGAAGCTTAGTTAAAATATGGGATTAAAAAAGTTTCTTGCTTTTGTTGAAGCAGTTAATAAGTTACATTTGTACTTGTACAGAAAAAATTTAAAGGTTGTAGTAAGTCTAAAAAACGGCTCAATTGTTTTTCCGTTTTAATCTTTTGTGTGTGTATGTGTTTTTATTACATAATAAAATCCATTACAACATTTTTAAATCCCTAGACTTATAAACTCAAAGTCTGCATAACAAAAAAGTATATATAAAATAAAAATAACTGGTAACTAGGTAACTGGTAGAAGATCCTAATGATCTTATCGCCAGAACATTTTTTCATAAGCTCATAAATATACACTAGCGTTTACAATCTCGGAGGTCTTTCTCAATCCTGGGATTCCAGGATTGAGAAACATCAATCCCGGGATCCCGGGATTGAAAAACAGATACAGCATCTATATAGTCTTAAGTACAATAAAAACAGCACACTCTTAAACAAATATATATTTTGTAAATGATGCTGTTTGCATTATATCGTTACATGCATAGAAGAAAAACATGTTAATTAATGTTAAGAAGTTTAATTGAAAATATGGAAATACATCATGTTTCATGTGCTTTGAAATGTGACTTCAGGAAGCACAACGCGTCCAATGTTTCATCGTTCAACCTGTTACGAATTTTATTATTAA